CTACTACTACTACTACTACTACTACTACTACTACTACTACTACTACTACTACTACTACTACTACTACTACTACTACTACTACTACTACTACTACTTGTATGATACTCCTTACAAAAAACAACAACAAGAAGAACACCACCAGCAGCACCACCACAAAGAACAAGAATAACCCCCAGCATACACAACAAACCAATGAATTCCATTCCTATTTCAGAGAAAACAACTAATACAGCTAGAGTGCTTTATTTATTAGCTTCTAAATTCTTTTCAGACTGGCACTTTTCCACCYTTCTGGCACTCAGTTTTTGCTCTGTAGTAGAAACTAGTACTTCTAAGTAACTGCATTAGCGACCCAATTTGCAAYAGTGAAAAGTGAAACTAAGCACGTCAGCAGCCCAGTACAAAATAGATGCGCGCCATTTTTGGTTTTGATCTCTCACTTGAGTTTCTCGCAAAAAATTCAATTGACGTCCAATCTAACCCGAAATTGATCATTGGAACTCTTTTTTTGCATTCGAAGTAACATCGCGATTACCCACACCGAACGACACACATATCCCAACATCCATAGTTGAGAGAATAAAGAGACAAACATGTCATTGGAGAAAAAACGCAAGGTTGAAGACTATGGTCTAGATTTCAAGGGTTCTGCCGAAAAAGAAGAAAGCGACGAGAAACATRCTGCTACTAGCAACTCCGAAGAGAAAAGCAAGAGTCCAGTTCTCAAGAATGACGACGGTGATTCCTTTTTTGAACTCTCTTCCAAACGGCGTTGCACTGTCCGATCTTTCAAGGGAAATATTTTGATCGATATTAGAGAGGTATGCAGGGCTGATTTTTTTGGCTGAAGTTACCCAAATGATACGTTGTTCTTTCCTTTCTCGGAGCGGTATCTTTTCTTTGTTTTCCTGCCTAGTCGAGGATTGATTTTTATTTTCATTTTGAACAACACCGAACTGTCCAGTCGAGCCTTTTGTTCTCCACTCACTCTTTATCCGTATCTCTCCCTATTCACCAAACGCAGATGTATGAAAAAAATGGGAAGGCATTGCCTGGGAAAAAGGGTATTTCGATGAATTTGGATCAGTATGAGACCCTTCGTGATTTGATCAAGGATGGCCACATCCAGAGAGAAGTGGAAGCATTACAAAAAGAATGATTGATGATTCGCTTTGAAAGAAAGGTAACGATATGTAGTCCTAGCGAACATTGCAAAAAGTTAGTAACTATTGTATTGAGCTCATTACTGTCATACACAAATACCGTTCTGACCGAACAAGCCGCAGAAGTAGAGAAAACGCCGACTATTCCGATCTACGACAAGCTTGAACTGTTCAATACAGCACAATTTTGGAACATAMATGCTATGATTCGTTTTGATTTCTCTGGCTCGTACCTTTTGATCAATGGTTGGCGTTTAGAAGGCTACCARCACAATCATTTTTATTTCGGTAGAGAGCATCTAACTACGAGGCAGTCAGTGAATTTCCCTTTTTCGCTTGAGGTGGATTTTCATGCAGTGAGCCCAGCATTGCTCCATCTGCTAGATAATTGAGTAATTATACTCCCGACGCGGTCCAAAAGACTACGAAATTTATTCGCACGGTCGCAAGGTGACAGGGTATAATCAGATGTCTATTCATAACCGTACATAGTAAGTGTTGAAGATTATTCCCACTAAAATCCAACTGACTACAGTATCATTTACAGTAGGTATTTTCAAACCACGTTTATCGTTGCTAGGCAAATGGATACACACACTGCTACAAAACCAAACGAAGCAGCAATCACACAAAGCAGCAACATCGGAAAGAAAGGCTCGATGCTCCATCCTGGTTCATCACCATGCGGCATCCAAAGGAACAGCAGAGCGCAGCGCATTCTTGTCGCTGTATACCGTGACCAAACATAACATTGTCGCGCATCTTACTCCTCTTGACTCTTTCGTACAATTTGTCGCACTTTCTTCTTGAAGGCTGGTCGATCATTTCTCCACTGGACCGCGGCATCCAAATTAGCGGGGCTTTCGTCGTTGGGATCGGATAGCATTGAAATGACTGAAATAAGGATTTGTTCTACGCCAAGGATTGGTCTCCATCGCTCGATAGCGAGCTCTTGCGAGTTCATTGCGTCCTCACCGGGTGGATGAAGGATAGAGATACAAACCTTACCGTCTTCGTAGACGTTCGGGTGCCACATTTCAGAAATAAAGGTCATTGTTGGCGGCATGTTCGGAAAGTCAGCAGGGAATGTTAAACGCGCCTTGAAAAATCCTCCTTCAAAAAGAGTTCCGTCGGGCCCCATGATCAAGATTTCCCACTCGTATAGATTGCTGTCGTCTGCCAAACCCACAGATACAAGATCGATAGGGTTCTTGCATAGGTCTTTTTTGTTCAAGGGGCAACAAAAACGACAAGCGCAACAAAGTGAATGTGAGAAAATTTCCTTCCCATCATAAAATGTCAACAGACATGTGTCAATCGAAGCGTGGGCGGTGCGGATTCGGAATTCAACGGTGCTTCTGCGTACAGCGCGTCGTGACCTGTCTTGTTGGACCGACGAGAGTATCTAAACCAAACAAGCGGTTGCAATGTGCCCAGTATCAATAACAGTATCCACAAATGCAACGAAGCTGACACATCTGAACAAGAAGACGTACCAGCCAATTGGCGGCGAAGCAACTCAGTTCCGTAATCTGTCATCGTTCAAAAATTGAATGACAGCCCACGCACTCCAGCTTAATCTTATTGTCTGTTGAGGGTTATTCTACTAGGGCGAAGAGGACTTCGGAAATGAAACCCAAACTGATTTGGTTTTTTGATTTTTTCGCTGATAGTTCTGGAACAAAGTAGTCCAGTGATTTCAATTTTGACAGAGGGCCTTTTCCATTCAATATCAAMCCTCTGGATGCGTTCTCGGCCTGAAAAATAATACTGGGCCCAACGGTACAATTCCTGTTACCACTATTTTTTGTTCGTTTGTCGCAGTCGCATTTTGTCGTAGGGGTACCTAGTACCAAGTAAGTAGAGAATCACAGATTTCCTCAGCTCCGAAGGCATCCCAGCATGGGGGGAGTGACTGAGTTTGTTTAACCCGTACTACTCCTACTTTGACTGTACGTACTGTACTGTACCATAAGTTGAGGGTCCACTATCTACTACGTACCGGTACGTAACGTAAGGTAGGAGTCATTATTATTTTTCAATGCATCCTGTCCCCCCCCCGTGCCGATACGGTACGTACGGTAYAATCCACAGGCCACAGCCCACACACCACACCTCTCACTCACCCTCATACTCTACGAATCTTATGATCATATGAAAGTGTATCGATATGGAATAGTCAGTGCGAATCGCGCCAAATAAGCAAACTCGAACCTGGTCCCTCGTCGGAATTCGACTACGAGTAAGGTAGTACTTCTACCAGTCTAAAGTACGTAGGGTACCAGTACTACATTCGTTCGAGTTCGAATAGGACAAAATTTACGTAGTCGATATGATAATGCGAACACCACGTGAAAGAATATGAAGCCAACCAGCCAGCTCCATCCATTATGGTCTTGTGTATTCTACGTAGAAAGCAGTAAACGTATTTCCGACTCGTAGCGGTCGACCTTAAAAAGTACGATAGCAAACTCGTTTGTACAGTTTCGTATGGTAACATACGTGCTGGTACTACGTAGTTCCTGAAATCACGGCACAGGTCCAGGTTCTAGTGTACCGTATGGTCGAACAGGCTCCGTACGAAAACTGGACCCTCAAACTGCAAAACATCAGAAAATTATTATGAATGGTCTCATTCAATTTACTGTATTGAGAAACAACACAACTACTAGCAGTATTTGTTTTCCAAGAACTATCGCCTCCAAGCCAAACATCGATGGCAAAGGTCCTCACCGCTTTTCATAATCTTTACCAAATCCGTTCCACAGACACCAAATCTAGTGTCTGTTGCCCCCAGCCGTTCAAAACGAATAGTCCACACAGCAACCCGCACATTTCACCGACGCTATCGTGCTGTCGGAACCCTGCAAGATCATCTCGTCCTTTACCAATCCATTCGCAAGACGTTCCGGGAGGAAAAAAGAAACACTGCTTTATATATAGCTAGTGTAAAATCAATCAATTCAAAAAGTAGCAAAAAAAATCCATCATGCCTATTCGTGGAGGTACCGTCATCAACATTGCCGGAACTACGCCGGTCGATGATCCGGAGTACCGGTACAAAATGCCAGCCGTCTATGGAAAGATCGAGGGCTCCGGTAACGGAATCAAAACGGCGATTCCCAACATTACCGCCGTCGCAAACAGTCTTCATCGCGCCCCCGGAGAGGTCAATAAGTTCTTTGGTTGTGAACTAGGTGCCCAAACCACCTACAACGAGGATACCGATCGGGCCATTGTGAACGGTGCRCATACCGATGATGTGCTTCAGAAGTTGATACATCGTTACATTGAAGGATTTGTCATCTGTCCCACTTGCGGATTGGTGAGTTATGCCTTTTCAGTTGCGGATTGCCKTAGCGTTTCCTCGCGTTGAGGCAGCATTTGACTTCTTGGGAAATTCAACGAATGAGTTACCTCTAACAATGTAAATTTTTGTTTCCTTGCCATCGTGACAACCCTGCACCCTCTCTCCGATCAAATAACACATACAGCCAGAAACCAAATACAGCATCAAGTCTGGACTAATCTGGCACCGGTGTGCTGCATGCGGTTCCAAAGAATTAGTTGACATGGGCCACAAACTTACCAATTACATTTTGGCCCAGGACAAAAAGGCTAAGAAGGAGAAAGGCAAAAACAAGAAGGAAGACCTGAAGAAAGGCAGAGATGATAGTGACGAAGGAAAGAAGAAAAAAGACAAGAAGGACAAGAAAGAGAAGAAGAGCAAAAAGGAGAAAAAGAGCAAGAAGGACAAGAAGGGATCGCCTGCCGAAGATGCAGGTGACGAAGAGAAGGACTACCTCAAAGAAGCCATGTTCGGCAAAAAGGAAGAGGACCAGTTTGGATCCAATTCCGATGATGATGAGGTTGCATCTGAGGCTGGTGTCGATGACGAAGGTGCCCTTGGTAAGTACGATACTTCAAAAAAAGGAATTGGAGACTTTTGCATGGATTGGAGTAGTAAGGGATTTATGAATAGCGTTCACTTACATTTTGTGCTCTTTGTCCTGCTATGTCTCTCCGCTAGAACTTGCTGTCGAAGGAACTCGCAGGTATCTTCTTGACAACCCAGATGCTTCCGCTCATGACATTGCYGAGGTAGTGACCAATCAACARATGGCATCTGCACTCAAAGCCCACGACAAGATCAAAATCTTTGTCCGTGCCGCCATAACTCCCCAGTTCTACAAGAACAAGGAAATCGAGAAGTATGCCCCGGTTGTTTCCGAGATTGCAAACGGCAGCCAGATCATCGAACGCCATTTGATTGCTTCTCTTGAATTCATCTCGAAGGATAAGCCAACAAATTTCCCTGTCATGATAAAGCAGTTTTACGACGAAGATGCTCTGGAGGAGGAAACCATCATTGAATGGGCTGAAGACGGACGATCCGAATATACCCTCGAAGCTGTGGACGAGGACACCCGTGCCGCTCTTCGCAGCGAAGCTGAACCGGTGGTAGTCTGGCTGCAGGAAGCGGATTCCGATTCYGATTCTGACGAAGAATGAAATGGATTCTCTTGATGGTTATTCAAAACCACATGGTTGTCGTTTAGTTTTGCCACATTCACGTGAAATAAAAAGAAGACGGCATGACAATCGATCTTGCGATAAGAATACATGACTATTATTTAAACAAGGAATGAGTTGAATATGTTTTCTAATATGAGTGTAAGAGTAGATCAGATACAATTAATTTGGTTAATGGTTTCTTATCGTAAGTAGCCGTTTTCGTCTGATAAATGTCCTGACGAAAAGGCTTTTGTACACAATCATTATTTTGATTTCGATCGTTTCGGAACTATTTACTGTCAATCACCTGACTTTCCCGCCGTTCTCATCGTGGAATATGTAACAATCCGCATGCAAGACTCTTGACAATCTAATAGACATCTGGTGGACGGTATCCCATGAAGTCGTTTCCTGGAGTATTGTGTTGTTGTGCTTGGAGGTGGTAACGTAGTGAAATGACGAGTTGTTCCAATTTCTTGATTCGATCCTCGGCTTCGACCTTGAACTGACGGCCGGCGTTAATTTCCGACAGAGCCTGATTTTGCCTTTCTTGTTGTATTACGACCGCTCGTTTCAAAGTTTTATTCTCGTTCACAACCCTGTTATGTTCTGTTTTAAGCGTATCGATTGATTCTTGAAGCCCAGCTTTCTCGGACTTGAGACTTTCAATTTCCGCCCCTTGAGTGTTCACGACATTTTGCAATTGATTTATCTGCTGCGTGCTCTGGCTTTCTGTTCGGCATCTTTTTGAATAAGGGCCTGTGATTGTTCGATACGATGAAAAGAGGCTCAAAGTTCGTAAGAAATGGGTTTTGGTGCGTTGCGTTCTTCCGMAACCGAAGCACAATTCATTGGCGGAAATACAAATAGCCCGAACCTTATCATAGTTTTGAGCACAAGAGAAGGTTACACTTACCCTGTGAAGAAATGGAATTCCCTTTGGCAACGATCGGCTGTTGTTGACATTGCACGAAGGTATTGTTTTGATTATTCTCCGTATCCCCTCCCATCGTTTCGTCAGTCAAAGTAAACCGTCTTCGCTTGAATGATCTCTGCTGCATATATTCGTCGGAAGAATCACCTGGAATCATGGCGAAAGGGTTTCGATTGGTCGTATCCCCGAATCCTGGTGAACCAGGAAAGTGCCTCTTGTTAGTTCCGTGCCCGAATGGATGGGGAGGTGGTGAAGCTACTTCCATGTTTATTGTTGATTATGATGCTTGTTAATTTGTTGGTTATTCTTCTGCGATTTCACCCTCGACTTCAATTACTTCAGTTTGTGCTTTGTTGGTTCTTGCAAGGTGACAGAACTGATTTATGGCTCTGCCGTGGGCGAAAAGAGGATTGCTCACTTCACGCGACAAACCGATCGTCGTGGAAATCTACAGGCGTCTTATTTCTTTTCGTTCCCGTCTATCTTAAGCATACGTCGCATGYTGGAGTCTTTAATCCAACTAGTCGATTTCTTTGAAACAATGTGTTCGCTCGTCGCTCACAATAATTTCAATTTTGGCGATCAGACCGGTGTTTTTTTTTTCATGCGAGCTTTGTCGAGAAAAAGTAGATGTACCGATAGGAGTACACACGTAGTACAGTATCGCAAACCGCCGAATAGCACCGGTACTCGTAGTTTGAGTACTATGATAACGGTGCGGTGGCGTGGAAGAGCTCGCGTAGCGCATGTACACAAAACGGTAACAATTGCACATCGTCTCGCCCAGAGAGCAAAAAGTACCTCCTCATGGGAAAAGAATAAGAGTTTTTAAGGATTCGCGCGTGCCCTTTTTCGGGAAGCTCCATCTCAGCAACCANTGAAAGGATTGATTCCAGAGGAATTGGTGATTGCTGAATTGGTAGAGTGAAAGGATGGACAAGTCTCATCACCAGGGGACAGAGGAGCCATTCCTGAATTTTCCACCACTACCAGTAGTCATTCTTCCTCCTCATCTGTCTCTACTTTTTGTTGCCAAGGTCTTTAGTAGCTATTTGTCTTTTTTATGTAATCAAAAGCAGCAGCAAAAGGGGAGGATTAGTCTTTGCTCTCTTCTTAGTAATAGGGGGGCTTGGTGCTGTTGCTGTAGCAACTGCAGCTGAAGTTGCTGCTACCATGTCAGTTCCTCTTGGATCAATTGCTGTTACACCAGCTAATGTTGAAGTCTCTCCTCAACTTCCTGTTGTTGCTGAGACTTACTGGCAAATCCAATATTTAATTTCTTTCTCTTATCAATCTTTGGCTTCTCCATGAAATRGATCTGAAGGATAGTGCCATTGTTTCYGGCTGCGTCAACAGGATATTCAAAGACCTTTGCTTCATACTTGTCTTCAGTTGTCTCCATAGCATTATCAAAATGGAACAAGCCTTCAGAGTAAGTGAAGCCATCTTCCTCTTCCATTGCTGCTGAGTTCTTTCCCATTTCATGCATTGTAGAGTTCATGGCCTTCCAGATAGTTTTCAATCTCAACACTATTCTTCTTTTCTTTTTCTTTTTCTTCTTTTTCTTCTTCTTCTTCGTCTTCTTCTCAACAACACTGCACAGTAAGCAAACTGATCAACTCAAAACACTAGTAGACTTCCTCATCAAAGAAGTCCACAAGGATGTATACCATGAATACACTGACATGTCTATGGAATCAGTTTAGAATCAATCTAGCCCAAGGGGGGTGTTCCTCTATCCCCACCCAAAACAGTAGGCAAAGATAAACAGGATGAGGAATGCAAAGATAAAGATGGCAAGGCACCAAGCAAGGMTCCTTGTCTACAAAGGACCCAAAGCCTCTGCCTGCAAGCATTGGCCACCAAAGCAGATGCTTGCAAATGTACAAGGAAACATGGAGATGAAATGGCATTGAGCAGTAAAGGCTTGGAAAGCACTTGAGTTAATCAAGCAATAGCAATTTGATCCAGGGATTGGATGGAAGATTCAAATAGGCATTGATCAATCTATTCCCCCCCCCCCTCCTAAAACTTTGTTAGAGCCACCACTTCCAGGGATACTATTCAATTCTTTGCCACAGGTTCAATTTGTATTGAATCAAGTCTGGAATTKGATGGAGAACCAGGAACAGAAAAGAAAGCCTACTAGTAGTATACTACAACAAAGAACTCAAGAGACCTGCACTAGTTATCTAAATAAGATCTGCTGGAAGAAGCTAGTTGTGCACAAGMATGACTGCTGGTTCCTTGAGATCTACCAGAGGACTGTAATGAAGAGGGAGAACAACTACTACACACCCTGCAACACTACTAAGAGTGCCAAAGAATTTGCCTATGATGAGTGAGGGAMCCCTAGCACAATGGACTAGACATTCTCATGGGATTGAGATGACTATGGCAATGACTACAAGGMAATCTATGGATCTGATGGTGGTAGCTCTAATGGGTCAGACAAGAAAGCACCAGATGTAGTAATTGCCAAGAATACACTGTGGAAGAATATGATGGATTTGGATCCAGGTCCAGCAAAGCAGAACAAGCAACAGGTTCCTGATGAGCAATTGGTTTTGGATCCAGCAAAGGACAACAAGCAACCATCTGCAACAGCAATCAAAGCTGCAACAACCAAGCTGGGATCAATTGATATACAAGAAAACACTAGATAGCAGTACTACTAGAACAATAATATCTAAATTTAATTCACAAAGACAAAGTACTGAACAGCTTTCATCCCTCCAATAATACTGTCAATGGTACTGGGTGCAGTCTGTTCTGTGATTGTGCTCGTCACAGTTCCAGTACTACTTGGGGAAACACCTGTTTCATTGAGCTGAGCAGACAAATCTTTCTCTTCTTCTTCCTCGTCATCAATACCCATTATGTATTTCATGTAGGAAGCATTGTGACTTAACTCAGTTTTGATTGGTGGATGCCAGCTCTTCTTGTTAGTCACCTTTTCCCAGACCACACCATTGATAGTTTTTATAGTTCCTGTGACAGTACTTCTTGAGTAGATTAACATCACTCTCTCTATTCTTTGTAGTTTTCATAGGACAAAGAGGTACAAAATATACTATAGATAGTTTATGTTGGATCACCAAACATGTAGCATGTATTCCTATTATTTGGTTTGGTAGGTCTCATTGTTTGGATGGTTTTTGTACTCTGTCCGTGTCAAACAGAACAACAACCTACCATCCAACTTGTTCTCTGCTATTCTTTCATGATACAGGGCCCTTAATTGATTAGTTTTTAAAAGATAGAACTGTTTCCTGTGCACCCTGCTATGTGTTTTTCTACTATGCATCAATTTTGGGCCATCTTTTTACCATGTAATGACTCATGGGATAAAWTWTTTTGACTTGCAGTAGCACATGTTTGAGTACAAACAGCATGTGCATATCGTATAGCATTGGCCAGCCAATGTACGGTTTAAACCTTGGATTCGTGGCCATCTTTTTCCCGTGTAATGACTTGTGGGATTAAAAATTGGCTTGTAGTACAGACGGTCGTACGATCTAATTGTACTACCGGTACCTACCGTATCATACTTCTTGCTTCTTAGGTCTTCGAAAGACCGTTGTTTTTTAAAAGCAGGCGGGCCTCATCGGACGAACAACACCAAAGATTCTTTGATCACGCGCGGTCACGCGGTTAGCTTGATCACTGTAACTTGCTGTGCTTCATTTCAGTACCAGCCTGCACGTAACGTAGTTTGAAATTATGTTTTCATGAATCGGTGACGTACGTGCTCGTGATTGAGCACCATACAAATAAAGGAAAAAACCCGCGCTTTTCACGTGTATTTTACCCATACGTCAGAAGGTTCGTTATGGTCTTTAGTTTAAAAAATCGATTTGAATTGAAAATATCCTAAACAGAGACACAGAGAAGGGGGTGGTCACCAACCATCAAGTTTACGCGATAATAGGGTTCTGTTTCTCACTTTAAAGATCCCAACAAACCTCATAATTTCAAATTGCAGGACATTGTTTCTAAAAGCCTAATTCCATCAAAATGAATATCGTTCTTTCCACCACTGTCTTGGCCTCCGTCTTGGCTCCTGCTTACTCCTTCAGCTACTTGGATTCCCTCGGAGGAGGAGYCGCTGTCGCCCCTCCCGCCAGTAGTAACGGAGCTTCCTATCTTGATGCCCTCAACGGTGCCCCCGTCGCTGCCGCCCCTGTTGCCGCCGAACCGGTTGCTGCTGCCCCTGTTGCCGCCGAACCTTACGTTCCTGCTGCTACTGCCCCAGTTGCCCCGGCCGCTAACTACCACGACTCTCTCTCTACGGGTGCCACTGAAATCAGTGGACCTGGGATCATGACACACGCTGACACTCTCAACACCGGTGCCAACTCCCTTCTTGGAGGAGCCGGAATCATTACACACGCCTCAAGCCTTCYTACCCCCAGTGCCCTCGCCGGAGGTGCTGGAATCCAAACTCACTGCGATTCCCTCAGCCCGTCCTCTGGTTCTTCCGTCAGCTACAACCCTTTCGGATCTGCATCTGTTGCATCCGCCTCTTTCTCTGGATCTACCTCTGCCGATGGAGTTTCTTTCACCCTTGAGACTGGTGACATTTCCGGACTTGTAGCAGATATCAAGGCCGGAGCCAAGCTTCGATTGACCGGATCTATTGACAGCATCTCCTACAACTAAGCATGCTTTGGTCATAAAGGAATGAAAGGTCATTTTGTTTTCTCACATCCAACTAAAAAGAGCAAGTTGTGCGCGGGACGTGGTGCGCTAGACTGGTTTCGCAGACAGCTGATGCTCTTGTAATACCTCATGTCGGAAGTCTCACATTGTCTAGTTGAGCTCCTAGGTTCTCGAATGTAAGAACCATAGTAACGACATATTTAGAATCTTCATTATTTTACTACTGCTGTATCAGAATGACAAAATGGATAACAGTTGTGTTCGAGGAAATAAAAKAAAACTTCAAAAGTGGACGAAACCATCCGTCTGGTGTTCACGTGTTGTTTGACCGAGTCATCTTGGTGGGGAGCCAAAAAATGAAAATGCCGCTTCAGTTGGTTTTGTGCAGCCCCACGAGACGAGGAAAAAAACTGCGGTGCAATGCTTCCCTAAACAGAAAGGTAGGGCCACAATAGGTTGCAACTTTCTTATCCATTTTTGTCTTCCTTTGAAATCATCGCCATGGTGGGCTGATAAAACGGTACCAAACGTTCGGGCCCGTTGGAAGGATGCAATAGTTGATTCATCGCTCGATTGGAAAACTTTTAACTATTGTACCAACCACATGTAGATTGGCTTCATCTAAAATATTCACTTTCTAAAGATGYTTTCTAATCAAACAGCTTAATCATTTACTCATGTTGATAAGGGCGGGTGCAGTAGCTAATAATACTATGTTAGACAAGAAACTGTGCCGTGTTGCTTCTTTGTACTGTACGACAAACACGAAAGTCAAAGGCGAGTTGAATGGAGAAAGCCTGGATTGCTCGTGTGTGGGAGCGATCGAGGCTCTGAAATCATTTGAATCTACATCCGTTTGCATGTAAACCAAATCGAAATTTAGAGCTGTTACGTCGCGTCGTGCACCGTGACATCAATCCAGGCTGCCCAACGAACTAACCAACGAACGAGTGAGAGGAGCAATTTGGTCCCAGTGCCTTTTTCAATCCGAAAGTGCTCTCCGATCTAGAAAATAKCGTCACAGCACCCATGCACAATGCTCTCTAGAATCCAAGGCCGGCCAGCCATGTTTTGACTTCCATCACGCGGTTTCCCTTTACTTCGATGGTCCCGCCGGTGCGGATACGGATGTTATCCTCTCTAGGATTTTTTGGAACGGGGATCTGCAGGGCTGCCCTCAACTCGTTAAGGAACAGTTCCCGATCACCCGAGACTTTTTTGATCCGGGTCGTCACCCGAGCGCCATCCTTTCTGTTGTTGTTTGTTTGTTCGTACCGTTGGTATGGTTGGTTGGACCGGATCAAAAGCAAGACCAGAATCAGGGTGAGAGGATGTCTGCGGTTAGATTCGATTTACTTTATCATGATGGTGCTTCGTGCAATCTAGAAATCATCGTCCACATATGTCAAAAAACCGATTCTAAAAACAACATCAAAGAAGAACAACGTGTGCCTATCGATCCATCAAAAAAAGAAAAACACAGCAACAACAAGATCATTTATTGCATGCATCACGGAAGGATGGGACAGGATAGGACACTGCCGAATCGATTCGATACTCACCGAAATTCCGAGTAAACGGGAAGAAAGCCAACCGCATCGTTCGGTTTGTTTTTTGTTCGGGAGACAAGAAATGGGTACTCCGGTCTATTTWCGGAGGGGGGGTTCCATCCGTTCCTAAAAATGGTTGGTTCCGGAACTATGGGTGAAAGGGTCGCCTCTGGAATGATTCCTTCGTCGTTGTCGTCTACTACTCCAGCCGCCGCGTTCGCCCGTTTGTCTCGGAGAGCGATTCGGCGTTTGGCGGGGTTCTGTTTGAAGAGTCTCTTGATCTGTGTCGACGAGTGCTTCGATCGAACGGCCATGGCATTGATCGTATTGGTGGTTTGGTGGCTCCCATCGGTGCAATTCCACGGAGACGAACCCACAGGTAAAACCGAGGAGGATGCTGGCGTTGTTGTGGACGACAGCAGCAAGGACTGCGGTCTCTGCCGGCATGCTCGAGCGGAGATCAGCCTGGAAGACGAGCGCCCGATCAAATTCAGGTAGACCATTCTAGTTATTCTATCTTCTTCTTTTGTCCCGATGGAATGAAAAAGACAATGATCTGATTCGGACCTCTAAATTTTTGTTGCCCCAGATGCTTCGTGTTGCCGTGATATCTCCCGACTCTCACAGTACAGTCGTAGCTTCTTTGATGGATCTGTTATCTTCCCCTATTTTTAATTTGGTAACAATCGAATCTCGGGGTTGTCGTTGGTTGCGCTGAGTTCAGTTTGGGGTTGATTTTTGATTGATTTGCAGAGAAATGCTTTCGACGTTGTTCTTCTGTAGCGGTRCGTAGTACCTGGTACTCGTCCAGCACTTACCTTCTTCGCAGATTACAGTAAATACAGTAARTGGTTGATATTGATATTGATAGTCAGTTTCACACTATTTTACAAATCCCCCCAAAGTCAATCAAAATCCCCCATTACCTGAAGATTGCAATGATGACATCATTCCTTACAACGCTACGATATGTACGAGGTACAGTAAATTCATCGAGGTACCCGTAACCGGTAGCAGTGTCGGATACTCGATCCCTCTCTCTACATAAGTAAGGGGACGAGGAGTAGGGTACGGTACTCGTAGTACTGCTTGCTAGCATCTGATGTTGTTACGGAAGCGGAAGAAAGAAGCCCAAACCCTTTAAGCATAAACATCAGCATTGAAAACATGACCATTCCCTGGTCGCTCCACTATATCTAGGCMACGAAGCATTGCGAAGAGCTCCTCTACCCTACCAGAATCCTTCTTATGTTTGATCGAGTAATCTATTTGACCTTGCTCACCGATTGACAGATTGATTGATTCCTTCCTATCGATTGAAATACCCGATGTACCATCAGCATCACGAACACCAACAAATCCAGCGCCATCCGCAGCAGCAGCAACCCCAGCAACCCCAGCAACCCCAGCAATCGCAGCAACAGTGCCCGAACCGTCGAGGGAATGGATACGCACCTGGAAGTGACGGTAGCAATGGTGGACCCACTGCTGCTGCGGAGGGCGCCTCCTCGGCTTCCCATCTCGACCACGCCCTCCTCGAGAGTCTCTTTTACAACGAGATGGTGATGCTCGAGAACTCCACCGCGGGCCAGGAAGCCGCATCGTCACTGGATTCGCCCCCGTGCCTACCGACCGAACACGATACGCCCCATACAATACTGGAAAAGGAGATACTGAGAGATTTCGGCGTGGGGGGTGGAAGAACGCTGTTTCCCCCTACCACTGCGTCCCCCGCTATGGACGCTTCCGCTGCTCCTGGTGTTGTTGCTACCGCTGCCGCATCTCCAACCCAATATGGCAGCCATACCTCGCCGTCGTACACCACCAGCAATCATGCTGTTGCATCCAGCTATTCCGATGCGATGCTGCCGCCGACGGTGTCACAGGACCAGCCGCACCAGAAACCAACAACGAATCCGATTCATCACCACCACCATCCWCTCCTCGGCCATCCGCAAGCACCGGACGTCTCGGCAGCCATGCCACGATACGAAAACACTCCCGTGAATCAGGCGTACAATGTCCAATCGGGTGCAGTGGTGAACAACGGATCTTCGACGGGAAACCTGGTCGTGGCGGGGCAGCAGCAGCAGCAGCAGCAATCTCAGTTGGGTGGAATAGTGTGTGCAGACCCACAGGCGACGGCAACCGCTGCGGCCGCGGCCGCCGCCATGTTTTCACAGCCCGGTGGTAAAAACAACAGGAACAACAATAGCAACGGTGGCAATCGAACCAGCGGGATCAAACGACAATCTAGTGCCATTCCCATGATGTCTGCCCCGAACAATGGGGTTACGGCAGCTGCCCCACACCCGTCCTCTGCGCCCGCGATTGTGTCGTCGTCGAATGCACCGATCGCAAATGGGGCTGGTGGTCAGCAATCACTTCAAGCCACCCACGCCGACAGTCCCTCATCGGGCAGCTCCCCGCTGCAGGTTCCACAGGATCGAGCCCGGCAACTAGTCGATCAATTCGCCACGCTTGCATCACGGCTGGGGATCGACCTGCCCGATTCGGTTCTGCAATCCCTAACCTCGGCGGCGGCCAAGAACGACCCAACCCTATTACTCAATACACAGCAACAGCAGCAGCAAAAACGACAGCAAGATCATCAACAACAATATCAGCAGCAACAAACAAAAGGAACCAAGTTCGCGACACCGGCGAGATCCACCGCAGCACTAGTAGGAAAAGGGACGACCGCGGCGACTTCGAATTCTGGTAAGTGTCATGGCATTCGTTGTACATAGTATTGTGCAAGTGCTAGATAATAACAMTGCGGGAATTTTGGWAACATTCTGTTTCGTCCATTGAAACGAAAGAAATACTAACCATTCTATAAATCGGCTGCGACGTACTATGCCGAAATACCTTCAAAACATGATTTCTTTCAGTCATAAATTCTTTCAAAACAAAACAAAAACCAGCAGTATCAACAGGAGACACAATAAGAGACGAAACCTCCTGCGTTTCGACGGAATTGACGGCAATGGCGCCGACCGTGATCGAATTACGGAAGACTGCCGAAGAAGCCATAGCAGCGGTCACCCAATCCAACAAAGATCCAGCGTCGGCGACAGAGAATCAGTCCAGAGCGGGCAGCAATTCCTTAAATAGTAGCAGCAACACGGGAACCGAACACAAACCCACATATAGCAAGCGGCGCAAAAAGCCGCGGCTGTCGGATTGCGAGGCAAAACTCGCTCAACTGAAGGCGGAAAACGAACAACTGAAGCGCCACCTGCAAAACGTTTCCAACAAGGCTCATAAGTTCGACATGGAGAAAGAAATGGCGTCGAAGCAGATCGCACAACTCATGTACGATCCAAATGCGAGTCCCCGAGATATGGGGGTCGCGGTTCGGAAGTTCAGCGACATGTACTCCGACTACGGTGTCAATCGGCAGCAGGAACTGAGTTTTCATCTAGAACAATTGCAAAGGTGAGTGACTGTGGACTTGATTGTCTAGTTCGAGTTTTGGTTTTGAGTTAGTACCTATATCAAACCATGTGAATCATTTTGCTCGAATTGCGAATCCCCAAGATTTACAAACACGGGCGATCAAAAAATCTCAGCCAATTTTCTCGTTTCGTCTTGTCCCGATTGATGCCATTCGCCCCCTTCCATTTCAGACTCGTGAATCCTACGAATTTCACCAAAATGGGTTTATGGACACTGGGCCACACCAACCAGGGTACTAAAAAGAATCCCATCGCGGGCATCCTGGTAAAGGAACTCGATATAACCCCCCAGCAGGGGCGGAAGATCCTCGACCAGAGCGAAAAAATCCGGCAGCTATGCGAAAACCTGAAGGAGGCTCATTCCCTCCTTGTGAAGCTGAAGCATCTCTGCGAGAAGAAGACGCGGACGTTCCAGGACCACATGAACAAGTGCACGGAGATTTTGACCTCGAAGCAGGTCGTGAAACTAATTATTTGGATCAACGGGCACACGCAGCTTCTCGACAGCGTGTGCCCCGGATGGGGCACAGAACACATTCATTCAAAGTAATGTTGATTATTTAGAACTACCGAAAGAACGCTTAGAAAGACTATGACTAAAAATTAGGAGCCGTTTCAGTTCCACGTATTCCCRTGTTTTGGGATTTCCTAGGAGAGGGATTTCTATTGAGTCTCTCACTCCACTTTTCGTCAATAATTTTCCACAGTTTTTGAAAAACAAAAACGATTCCGATGCAATCATGTCTTTAACTTAGTGCCTATGCTCGTTTGTCTTCTTTCTATTTTTCCTCCGGAGGGAACTTGTAGYCCCCCCCCGAGCCGTACTTCCAGGACTCCATGCGTCTCCTCCACTTGAATTTCTGTCGAGGGTTCTTTACAAAGTTATCTACCACCGAGCTCACGATGGGGGCCGCGGCGACATCCAGCACGGTATACTTGCCCATGTTTCCGACGTGGCCGAGCCACTTGATCAGTTCTGGGAGCCCCACGGTGGCAACGATTTGTGGCATAAAGGTCGGATCCGCCAGGAAGCTTCCGGCCAGGCTGCCCACGAGGCCGTCGAACCGGACGACGTCCTGCAGGAAGGGTCTCATTGTCTTCTCTCCCATRTTGTCCATCACCTCAAAGTTCGTAGCGAGTAGGCGGTTCACAAATTTCGGGTCAACTGTTTGGCCCATCTTCACGCTCATCGCCTTTTGGAACATCCATGCGGCGCTGAGGTTGGGTTGGTAATCGTTGATGAGTCCCAGATCGTCCTTGTGTAGGCAATCGTTCTCGAGCCCCTCGGAAATCGCACCGCCGATTCGATCCAAGTGCCTCGTCAGCGCGCCAAACCCTCCGAACGAGAGCGGGGACTGGATTCCGGATGCGTCGCCTACTGCCAACACCCGACTAAATTCTGGTTTGAGGGGGGAGTCTCGATACGTTGGGAAATAAGCAAACAAGATGCGCTTGATGTCCAGGTCGGTTTCCGGATTTTCGATCGAGTTCTGGTATACCGGTAGAAGTTTCCAATAATCTTCAAACAACTGAAGAAGCGAGGGCCTGTTTTCGTCTGCATCCATGTACGTAAACACTGAGTACAGAAACAAAGGAGGGGAAAGGAAAATTATTGGATGAGAYCACATCTCCGGAATGCTGCAGAACGTGATAAATTTTCGAGCAACAAGTTGTACCATTCACACAGGCACAAGAATCTGTTATATTCACTGTACTCACTATATGTGGTCTTGACATCGCTCGTGCCCGGCTCATTTCCCCTGCCGATTCCTACGGGGAAGGCTTCCCAGAAATACTGGTTCGACCCCCGGTCCTTTCGGGTCTTTATCGGTTGGTTCGTGTAGATAATGTCGCCATACAAGTTCGTCTCCTTGTCGTATCCACCGGCGCACGATCCAACAACGCAGCAGATTCCGTCGGCTTTTTGGCCGTACCGCTGCTGGGCACTGATCGGCGAGGCGTTCCCCATGCAGTCCAGCACGAGGCGGGTAGTGATGGGTTCGGCTTCTTCCCCGAGGTCGATTGCCGACCCGACCAGCTCGCTGACGCATACTCCGGAGAGGCGGGTCTCTTCCTTGATGACACCACCGATGTATCGGAAGCGGTCGGATACCCGTTTGAGGAGCAGGGACGGCGTGACCCCGAGGTTCAGGACGTCGGGGGTCAGGCACTCGTACCCGGTTTCACCATTCTCGAAGTAKCCGCCTTCCAGTGGAGTGACCTCCGTGTTTTTAAAGCCGGAGCGGCAAGCGGGAAATTCCGTGGTAATGACGGCGTCGACATCTTCTTGCGTGATGACGTTGAGGCGCATGAGCTCGTCGAGCTCGTCCATCGAGATGTTCCACTCCTGTTCTCTGCCGCGGAGTTTTCCCGCCTCGATGACGCAAACCCTATGCCCCTGGAGCTGCAGGTACATGGCATAGAAGATACCGAGCGTTCCGCCACAAACAACGACGTCGTAATCGAGCTCTCGGAATCCTGCGGAATCCCTCAACCGCTGCCAGCACTTGGGATTTCCAAAGGCCCCGTCGGTCGAAACAAACTGCGGGGGCGGCCCGTGGTTGTCCTGGRTCCAGCGCAGCTGCTTCGTGTCGTAGTCGAATCCCTCGAACTGCTTGAGGCGCTCCCAGTTCTGTTCGGCCCTCTTGAAAGCCTCCAGCGTGCTCGCTCCGCCCGCGCCACCGGCCTGGTTTTCAGTGGGGATCTTGTTGAACATGCGCTCGGTCAGCGTGCTTCCGTCTCCGAGCTGCGGCTCCGGTTCGTCTTCCTCGCTGGCGCCGATCTCSACTGGGGCCTCTGTCTGCGTVGCAGTCATTCGTAACGCGGTGGAGGTTTCTCTGGCGGAAGAGGCTAGCCCGAAGGCACCGGCCGAACCGACGCTTCCCAGGAGCGCGATTCCAGCAACCGAGAACTTCATTTTGTTATGTTGCCTATGTGGGTTGTTGTTTCARATTCARAAAGTGGTGGTCCGACAACGACAAGAATGATTTATTCRAAGACAAACACGCCCGTTGATGGAATGAGAAGTGTCGGGAAGTCGTCGAAAACAATCGTTTGATGCAACACCCGTGGTCGTTCAGAAGGGCCAATGTTGGCGTTTAGAATCATCAGGGCGGGCCAACCCTCTAAAATCGTACGAGTACCGTATCGTACCGTACGGCACGACAAGAGCACGCACTTGTACATCGTAACGAACTGTGCCGTCCATCGTCACAGCAGTAACATCTTTTGTTTTAGAACACAAAATGTGACTGGGATCATCATCGAGGAAGAAGTCGAATGAGTCATAGTCGCTAGATCCTCGCTAATATACCGTACATCAAAAAAGCAATTCTGGACGATGACTCAGTTTCAACCCGCGAATGAAAATACGCTGTGCGCCTTTCGTGGTGAGGTTTGAGTTGTGTCTGTGTACCGCGGGCAGAACACGATCAACCACGACGGAAAATATCCCCCCAGTTCGAGTACTCGTACTACCGGTACCAGGACGGGTTAGATAATACATAATACACCGTACGGGGAGGGTACGTAGGTACGTTACTCGTACGTACGTATTGGTACGATTGCTACCGATAATTCAGTTACGGATCATYTTTTTCTTGTTGAGATACCAACTGAGAGTGATTCGATCAGACAGACGCAGCAACAAACAGATGCCGGGAACGGGTTKATTCTTCGTGTWMGAAAACTTTCTRATGCTCGCAMCGAGCTRYCMTATCATTCAATAAATTAATCAAGCAACCAGCTCCATCAACGATGAAATTGCCAYACGCCGTCTTCGCCGCCCTTCTTCTGTCCCAGGACGCCACGGCCTTCAGCGCTCATTCCAACCACGGATCAAAGCCTGCAACGGAAACATCGTCGTCGTCTCGGGCGGAGTTTCTGAAGATCGCATCGGCCGCCGCCTTTGCTTCCGTKGCGGGAGTGGCGGCATCCCCCGGAACCGCTTCGGCCTTCGAGATCGGCGGGAAAATAGTCTACGGGGGAGAGGAAATCATGGTCCAGAAGGAGCACGGAACRAGTGCCAAGCCCGTGCAGGAGAATCTCTTGTACGGAGCCAACAACAAGCTGGCCGACAAGATCTGCAACTACAATCGGTGCGTAGGAAAGCGTGGCGCACGGGGAGCAACTGCTGCCGCGTTCTGCTTCGCTCGGTGTTGCAAAAGCAGATGCAATGACACGTGCGGGATGGATATACCGTACGGCATGGCGTGCCACGCTACGATGCARACGTGATTTCCCACCGTTATTTTCGTCTTTCTCACACAAAAAAGCGACTTTGTTTGCCCATCATACCCGCCCAACCACTCACGATCCACCAAAACCGCGCAGCCACTTTGCCGAAATGGGTGGCTACTTCCAATCCACGAGCTTTGAAGAACAGGTCATGGCTTCGAAGGGACCAATCACGTTTTACGATTCGGTGACAGGAAAGCCATTGTTCGTAGCCCCCATCAATCGATCCCCGCAACAGTTTGTCGAAGAATCCAAGATCCACGGCTGGTAAGTTACGTTCCACTTCGGTGATTTATTTGGGTTTTGGTATTGGGGTCGTAGTCCTGCACGGCATACTACCTTGCGTTCGCTCGATCGTACGGAAAAAGCCTGTGGTTGTGTTCTACAATTCGWTCGTTTTTCATCTTCTCACCGGTGAATTCATTGGTTTGCATTCCGATGTGTTGCGTTGCTTTGCTTTACTTCGCGGTGCAGGCCATCCTTTCGCGACGAGGAGGTGRTCTGGGAAAACGTACGCGTATTGAGGAAATCAGGGGAAACGGTATCCGCAGACGGCACACACCTCGGGCACAACCTCCCAGACCGCAGCGGAAACAGATATTGCATCAACCTGGTCAGCATTGCTGGAAATCCCGTGGCCTGAACGAACTGAAATACCTGTACTATAACTAGCAGACGCGCAGGAAGCAAATCGTTTGTCTGGCAACGGATAGTATTCGATCCGAGGGATTTGGCAAAGTAGAATACTAGCACGACAATCCAGCGCGGGTTTCAATCGTGCAAAATCAACACCYGCGGTTTGTAGAGAAACCAATCAGTGTCGTTCTAGACAAACACAACTCGAACGTGACGTGCGTGGAAAGAAAGCAATCTAATAAGAACTCGTTAATCATTCGCTTTGAGTCATCCAGTTCAGGGGWTTGTTACGATTCCTTAGATTTTGTAGAGAACCTTGCCCTTGGATTTGCCTGCCTCGAGGTATTTGTGTCCCTCGGCGGCTTGGTCGAGAGGGAAGACGGTATCTACTGACACGTTAAGCTTGCCGTCCTTCAACCATCCGAAAATCTCTTCCGCTCTCCACAGCAATTCTTCTCTGTCTCGGGTGTAGTCGAGGAGTTTGGGTCGGGTGACATACGCGGACTTTCCGATCAAACGCAAGACCGGAAAGGCAGGAACGGCTCCGGAGGCGTTTCCAAACGACACAAAGATGCCCCTCTGGGCCAGAGATCCGATCGAGATGTCGACCGTGCTCTTTCCRATTCCGTCGATGACGCACTTTGCTCCGACTCCATCGGTAACCTCCATGACGCGTTCGACAACGTCGACGCTCTCGTAGTCCTCAAAGCTCATGCCGGGGACCTCGTCCAGAACAATCAGCTCGTCGCACCCCAGATCCTTGGCGACGTCGGCCTTTCCCTTGGCCACGGTCCCGATGACCTTGAACCCCTGAAGCTTGGCCATCTGGGCGGCCCATTGGCACGTTCCACCCCCGACTCCGTGAATCAAGCACCACTCGCCGGGCTTGATGAGATCGGCGTGGGCCGAGGCCGTGAGGTAGTGAGCGGTCAGTCCCTGCACCACACACGAGGTGGCTACGTCCAGACCGACGCCTTCCGGGACGGGAAGGAGTTTTGCGGCGGGGACGGCAGAGTACTCGCTGTAGGTCTGCAGGATCGAGTAGGCGACGCGGTCGCCGACCTTGATGCCCTGYGCGGCGGCTTCGTCCGAAACCGCTGCCACGGTGCCCCCRCCCTCTTGTCCGCCCACGAACGGCAGATCGCGGGCGTACAATCCGCTGCGGTGGTACGTGTCGATAAAGTTGATCCCRGCGTACTCGTTCTTCACGATGACCTGGCCGGGCCCCATGCTGGGGATGGGGTAGTCGGTCTCGATCTTCATGGCGTCCGCGTCACCTACCTCGCGGATCACTGCCGCCTTCATGGTTTCGGGTAGGGCGGAGAAGCACCGCCGGGACGCCTTGCTGGCGATGGAAGACGAGCGGGATAGAACACAGGAAAACATGGTATCGGTATGGCTAACAGATATCTGTGGGAAGATGTCTTGTGATCCGTTGGTGTGACACTTGGGTTTGGTTTCAGAGGGACGGCTCCTCCTCGACGACTCCCCGTGCTCTACGAACAACAGATTTCCTGTACCTACGTACGTAGAAGTACGATATTGCTATTGATACGAAATGGATCGAAATCCAATCGCGTTTGTTCGTTACCTCGTTACCTCATGCTTCTATTTTTATTTGAGAACCCAAACAACGTGATGACGTATGACATTGTTGGCAACAACCAATAGATTTCGATTGGCACGCGCAAGATTGCGCATACAATTAATATTGACTCATTCGACCGTGATATCATTCGAGCGGGTCAATCCAATCGTGAAAACAAGACTTCCGGGTTCTTAAATGTGGACTCGCTTGACTCGAACAGTATCTCGCGATCCTTGAACTAGAAGTTCAACAAAGTTTTGGTGCAGCCGCGCGGCGAACAAACGATTGGTTCAACATGAAGTGAATTTTGTGCGTCCCTMAGCGTGTACCACGACAAAAAAGGAACCCTTCCGGGTCCAACACGTCGTGCATCGGAGGAAAATATCGCGATGTGCATCTGTTGGTCTCACACAAAGCAAAAGTGAATCGAATCTGGGTCCTCCCTCCTACTTGCAACMGGTATCCGCTATAGCTTGACAGAAAGATCACAAAACAATCGAATTCGATTGTTCTTTCACAAYTCCGAACAACACAAAGCCAAGCTAAAGCCAAGCCATTCAAAACAACCACCAACAAACAACATGAAGGCTATGCAATTGCTCTTGTTCACCCCGGCCGTAGCCTCTGCCTACACGCTGCACCACCAACCCCGCAATCCATCCTTTGCGGTGGGCCGCGACGCCCAGCGAAGATCCAGATCTGCTTCGTCAAGCTCGCAATCACTATACCGAAGCGATGTCGACACTACGACACTCGATACCATCACTACCGCTATGGGTAGCATCTCGAAGAGATTACCTCTGATGCAGCCACCCTCGCCGAAAACAAGCCCAAAACCATTCAAGAGAAGCATTTCGGTCCGGGAGGCCGAAGCGGAACACGGCATGCCTTGGAAGTCCTCCATCGACACCGAAGTCAAGGACGATGAACTCTTGTACATGCCGTTCTGGGAATGGCAAATGGACTTTATGGAAGAGAACCTCACGGATCTCAAGGTAGTTGAATGCAAGAACGACAAAGATACAGATTTTTCCTACAATGCAAACGAAAAGAAGAAAGCACGCATCGTGAATGTTTGCTTTTCTTCAAAGGAATACCGCAAGATTCGCATGACTTATTACGACGCTGGTGACAATACCCAGGTCTACAACGCGGTTTGGTATCCCAACCCCGAGTACAACCTACCGGTTCTGGGCATCGATCTCTTGGCCTTCAACCGAAAGAAGTACCTGGCCATTGTCGACTTTCARCCCATCCATGACAACGAAGAGGACCACGCATCGCGCTATGAACACCTTCTCAAGCCCATCAAGGACAAGTACGATTCTCTGAAGGGACGCATGAGCTCTAAGTTCTACGACGAAACCAAGCACTTCTCGCAGCAGATGCTCTTTGCACGGTTCGATGACGAACAAGTGGTCTCCCGAGACTTGTTCCCCGCGTTCAAGTCYTACGTAGAAACCCACCTCGATCTGATCCGATCGACGGAGGCCCAACCGGAAGAAGTCGAAACCGTCCTTGCCAAGACCAAGGCCTACGACACGTACTCGGCCGACAGAGATCCCGCCACCGGTCTCTTTGCCGCCATGTATGGAAAGGAATGGGCGGAGGATTTTGTTCACGACTTTTTGTTCTCCATGAGCGATCGCCCCGCGGAGGGAGCAGCACCTCCAGCCAACCCCTTCATGGGAGGACCACCACGGGGTGGCCCACCACAGAACCAGGGGCAAAAGGTGCAGAGACCCTAAGCACCGGTGGATAGCATGACATTCATTTATCCTCCACACACTGTTGTACCATTGTGTCCTATCGGCTCTAAATACCCTGTACTATTAACTACTAATAACAGATGTAAACTAACTTTGATACAGAACTACCAACTCAAAAACTTTCTCTAGAATAGGCCGATGTAATCGATTTTGACAAACTAATATTTTATTCTGTTCAGCGCGTATCAATAGTACACAACGTAGTGACTAAGAACCCAGTGTGCTGAAGGCGGTTTCGGAGAACATTATTCGAAGTACTTCGTACTTGTACTGTTACTGATCACTTTTAGGTACGAGTAGCTCATGGGAGTAGACTTCACATTGAACAATCACAGTACTACCGTACGGTACGGTATGATCGATGGGATTAAGTACCCTACTTTACGGTCCTAGGTATAGCCAAAGAAGATCCAATTAGATTCATGTCAACAAAGGTACGGTATGTACTACGACTACTAATACTAGTACTTCTACTTCACGACCTACAGTCACGAGTGCTTGTCCCTCCTACTAAGTACAGTAGAAACTACGGTAAAATTATTATTCTGCAAAAAATCTGAATCAGTACTATCTTTGATTTCCCACAACCCCCCAAAGTAGAGGTTTTAGCTGCGCACGKTTCCCCCACATGGAAATGGGGGATCCTTTCGAGGAGCACAATATGCTTGGCAAAACGTCTTGCCGTCGTCGCTATTTTTGTTTCTTCCTCTCTCATCATTCATCGTCGGCCTTCTCTAAGGTAGCAAGATTTTTCTCGATCGAAAGGGTTTGGTAGACACAAAACTCACGATTGACGAAGAGAAAAGGGGCAACAACGACATAGTTTGGTATCACGCCGAGAAAACCAAACCAGAATGATACTTTCACAAGGAAGAAGGATCGTCCAACGGCGAGTAATAGCAAGCCGAAGCTATTGTAGAAAACCAAACGTGGGGCACCAAAATGGTGGTCCCATCAGCTCGATTTCTTCGTCGTCTTCGCCATTAATTATGGCGCTCGAAAACCGCAATCAACAACAACATTCTGGCACCGTGACGCCCTTCCCACCCCGATTTTTCAGCTCGGCAACGGGAAAAAATGAAGGAGCATCCGAGAAAAAGGAAGAGTCAGAAGAGACTTCGAAGGAAAAAGAAGCGAATACGACCGACGAGGAGAGTCTGAAAGATACCGTTCGTCGAATGCAGCGAGAAAAAGGCACGAAAGGTAGCGACGACGATGAACGAGTGAACGACCTTCTGCGACAAGCCTCCCAATTTTGGTCGACTGCATCAGATGAAATAGGCAAGACATGGGGAGAGCTTTTGCGATCCGGTGATCGCAAGGATATTAACAAAAAAATCGGTCGCCCCCAAGATACAGCGGAAGGCGAGGAAGAATATACAGGGCCTGTGTCAATTATGGTGATAGATGAAAGCGAAAATCTTACTGCATGGGAGCGAATGCARAAACGATTAACCGAAGCTCCAGTGATCCAAGGTACATAGTTTGATCTGTCATGCGGTGGATGAAATCGGCAATGATGCTATTCGACGAAAACAAAAGATGGATGTATTTTGAAAATAATGTTCCATCGAAAATTTCAATACAGGTTGAAGTTGTTTCTCACGTTCAAACCCCATTTGTGTATTTCACAGACATCCTAAGTCGGTCGGAAGATATTTATGAAAAATCTGGAGTAAAGAAAGCGAAACAAAAAGTTGATCATCTAACGGAGGATGCCCGTGAAGCCTGGGAAACGAGTCAAAATCCGTGGGTGTACCGTGTAAGCTCAGTATACGAGACGATGACTGCCGAAACACCAGAGTCGATTGCTGTCGCTGAATTGCGAAAGCTGGATCCAGAATTTACGCTAGACGACTGGCGTGAAGATGTAGCTGAACACACCCTGCCTAAAATTATGGAGTGGCTCCTCGAGGGAAAAATTAATCAATTAAAACCATGGCTAGCAGAAGGCGTTTTCAAGAGAATTGCAGCAGAGATCACAGCTAGAAAACAGGAAGGAGTGCAAATCGACACCCATGTTCTGGGAATTATGAACTCGGAAATTTTGGCTGTGGAACCTGATGAAGTAGAAAAGGGGTCACCTATTATCGTTCTTCATTTCATGTGTCAACAAATCAACTGTGTTCGGAAGAAAGACGACGGAACGATCGTAGAGGGATCAGAAGACGAAATCAAAGCAAACAGTTACGTCGCAGCCTTCCAAAGAGAATACAATGAGAAGAAAGGCGAGTTAAATTGGAAGATAGTCGATTTCAGGTTCAATGGTGCTATTGCGTACCTATAAAAAGTCAGGTAGACATTAACGATACAGAACACTCGACTTTTACCTGGATTCCTTCTAAGAATAGAATATCCCTATTGTGTCAATGAAGCTCCCTAATCTTTCRTAAGTAATCAAGTGCAACAGATATCCCGGCATTTAARGAACATTCCTTTTTAGGACGACGAATTTCAGAGGTGTGTTCACAGTAACAGTGTGGAGCCATTACGAAAGATCTGGATTCACATTTTTCTTCAAGCAGGGTTTGGCTCTTCTCAGTTTCACGAACTACACATGAAGTAATTTTGTGTCTTCGCGCCTCCCAGGCACTATTCTCTTTTGCTTTAACAGACGTCAACATTCAGGATAGACTCCTCATCGTTGTTCTGCAAGTATCAGAGAGGCATAATAAGTTAGGTGCTTTTTGTTACCAACATGAATGTAACAATCAGGATTTGAGAGCATCCGTCCGCACCTCATTGACAATTCTGAACGAAACCAGCGTAAATAAGAGGAAGTAGTAAAAAATCCAAAATCCTTAGGTATCGTACTATTTTCGTGGTACGACAGCGTTACTGTACATGACAGTCACCAATACAAAACTGTGTTACAGTATTAGAGTTAAGGTTGGAGAGATTTTAGGGGCAAGTTCAATTCAATTCCCTTTCTCGTTTACGGTGCAGAAATTCTGACGATCCATTACCGCATCCCCATAAACAGATACAGTAGTTTTTGTTTTTTGCTTGTGATGTCATCATTTCTTTTTTACTGTATTTTTCATCACTGCACATTTATTTCGTCTTTTACGATTTTGAAAGTACGAGTAAAGTACCATACTACTGTAGTAAAAAAATGGTCGGTATCATTGTCATTCAATCTAAACACTGCGACCCTTTGTAGTCTTGAATATTGAAAAATTTACATTAGGATACCGGTTTTGTACAGGAATTGATCCAAACGAACTTATTGAATTGACCATAAAGAAAATGCTTTCGTCCGTTTATCGCACCTCGGTGTTTTCTATCGCCTCGACTGCGAGTCGACGCGTTTACCACTCCTCGATCCGATCGTTGAAATCATCCGTGACAACAAAACCCGATGCTTCTAAAGTGAAGAAGGTTGCGACGGAGAAGRCGGCAGCGGATGTTGTAACRAAGGAAGCTTCGTCGTCGTTTGCAAAGGAGAATCCGTTTGTCTTCCAACTCGGGGTCGCTACTGCAAAGACATCTGCCGCCGATCTTGTTGCCCAGGTTGTAGCGGAAAAGAAATCATTTGACGAGATCGATTGGAAGAGAAATTTTATTTTTGTCGTATTTGGTTTTGCATATCTTGGTGCATTCCAATACTGGTTGATGGTTAACAAGGTAAGACGAAATAGCGACATCTTAATATTTTTTGGGTCTCTTTCGGAATAATCTGATTCTAAACTCACAGAGCCCCCATTCGATTGACTTTTTTATGCCAGTTTCGACAATGGTTCCCGTGAGTATTCTATCTGAAGATATCTTTAACAGATTCCAAATTCAAAGGCACCACTACTGATTTATCTTCCTTTTTTGCTGAGAACATCACTGTGTCTAACTGTACCTAACTGTATTCCTTTTCAAAACATCAATGACTCCCAAAATTGCTATTATAGAACCATGGATCGATTTGCGAAGCTGCCATTTGCTGAAAAACTCAAGGATACGGCTGGAATTATGGATGCCGCGAAAATGGTTGTCTTTGACGTAACCGTGCATCTGCCTATAATTTATTTCCCAACTTACTACACTGTTAAAGAATTTGTATATGGTCAAAGTTGGAACCCGCTAGATTGGGTAAGAAATCTTGATTTTTGAGAGCTTTGTTCAGTGTATTTGTGGACGTGTACTACTTTTTCGGAAATCTAATGGCGATCAACTACTTTTGGAATATCACAGGCAATGAATGGCGTATCAAATTACGCGAAAAACGCCAAGGATGATTTGACTGCCATGATCAAATTGTGGGGACCTTCGGATTGCATCCAGTTTGTTTTGCCCATGCACATACGATTACCGTTCCGCCACCTTGTATCATTCTTTTGGACGGCTTATGTCAGCTTCACTCGCGGTGACGCCGAGAAAGTCGAAACGTCGGAAGAATAAAATGAATAAGGGAACTTTTGGTTACAATTTCAAACACTGTTTTGTCGAAGCGACCTTTTTAATCGCAATTATCGCAATTCATTTGATGTTCGAACCTAATCTTTATACTCGCATCATCATCTGTGTGACATCAGTCGTACACATAAAGAACGGAAGCAGTTTGTATGACTTTACGTTGCGCCATAGAGATATCGTTGCTCTGCGACAAGTGAAGCAAAAGTGTGTATTTTCTGAAACTAACCACAAGAAGAACACTGGATGTTCWAGTAAAAGTCTATGATTCAAGCAACAACTATTGCCGATACTAACATTGACGAATAAAGGTTCTTTGTAACAGGCTTACAAATTAGGGAACCGCCAATATTCGTACGAGCGAGGACTAACTATCATCATGATGAAATACTATGCACTCCTAGTAGTGGCTAGCATTAGCAACACCTCCATTCTTTTCACTCCTGAGGCACTACCGTGGATAGCGCCTTCTTGTTGCTCTTCTTTTAAAAATGCTAGTACTAAGCGTACTACCCGTTTGAGTACAAAAAAGAAGATTGCTTCACGTATTACTAGTACTAGTAGTCGTAGTAGTACTACTAGTACCCCCCCCCTCCACCACCACCGTGATTCCACGTCTCTCACCTGATGAGGAACTCCAAAGCAAGGTGGAATTACTAGCTGTGGATCTCATTGTTAATCCACGTGTCCTTACCGTTGGACAAGCTATGAAGGCTGTTGATTTTGAAAAGTTTGAAGCTCATAAAGCCTGGTGGCAAGCCGCGACAGTGTGTTGTTATTCTTCCAAAATTCTTCCTTGTGACATGGGACCTGTTTCGATTTGGCACCAAATACAACTCCTTACTAGACAAAGCCAACATGCAGGTGTACTAATTGAATAGTGCTCTTTCCACTTGTCCAATTCCCATACTAAAGATCCCACACTTTGTTCTAAAGATACAGCTGTCTCCATGGGCAGTGCTAAAAATTAACGAAATTGGGTCATTTCACCCCATTTAGTAATAATGCAGTAGTAGCTAAGTGAGATTAAAAGCAATACAAATGACATTCAACGAGCTTATTATTCAGACAAAGAGCTTTGTAGTGGTACCCTTYTTGTGTTCATAGGTGCTCTGGTTGTGAAGTTATCAGTCTCACCATGGTGATATGGTGTTTTAGCGATAAATAGAAAGTTGTGTGTTGGAGTAGAATGACTTTTTGCTGTGTAGGTTCTACTAGTACACGTCAACGGTTAACGCATTTTACTCCGATTAAACTCGCACAGCACTACCTACTTCCTCCGTATTAATGCTAGTACTAGTAGTAGGAGTACGGTAGTAGAGATTCTGACTTGCAGTATTCGTAAAGCTTTCGTTTGGAACACACAACACACCGTAGTCAAGAAAAGTATGTATGGCATGTATGATGGCAATGTCCCGCGAATTTCGCATCTCGAAAATCAAGCCCAGGGCGTTTTTGAACGGCCATTGCTAGACGAGTATTTCTCGATTTCATACTTTTCATGCGAACGGTTTTCAGTACTATTACAACTAGTAGTATTCGAAACTCTATCTAATATTGCAAAGTAAAGAAGGAGCGTACCACACCCCATAAAACAAAAACGGGCAAGCACCAAAAGCACAAGATTTTCAAACAAAAATGACGACAAGTACCGACCAAAACCATTTCGGTTCATACGAACAAGATGGCAGTGAGCATTACAGTTCTGTGAAGTATGCTCCTAGCGACGATGACAACGGTAATGTGTTGTACGATGATGATTTATGTGCCGAGTATATCGAAAGTGGAAGCGACGGTGGCCTCGATCCCGGGGTTCTCCTTGCGATACTGGAAAATGCTGTCGACCAACACCATGGTCATCCTACCATGATGGCTATTAGCAGCACCAATCCCGAAGAACTCCCACAGAAACGCGAAGATCTTGAGCAGACCTGGAAAGCCATCCGCACGTACTGGTTGTGGGCGCACGAGACACGCGAGCAGCGTTCCGCCGCTGCTTACCTCCGAGGAGCGGCGGATCTTGCACCACTCCATCTCATCTGCAAGCTCACTAATAACCCACCAACGGACATCCTAAACGAAATTGTACATGCGGCCCCTGAGGTAGCAGCTTGGGCGGACAGCAACATGTGGATTCCTCTACATCATGCATGCATTAATGGTGCATCTACAGAGGTTTTGAAGCTACTGATAAGCACATATCCCAAGAGCAAGGGCTGTTTGGATGGACACAACCGCACCCCCCTGCATTTGTATGCGACGCGCGGCAATTCTGACAACTATAACCCACTCACCATGGCGACGAWTTTTTCGCTCCTGTGCAGTGCTGTCACTGGCGAGGATTCATCATCATCGCTAGAAAACTTATCTGTATCCGCAGCAGAGGTGCGGGATGTTGCAGGCATGATCCCGATGCACTATGCATGCGCCTACGGAACCGCCCCGAGTGTCCTCCAAGTATTGGAGGAGGCGTACCCACAGAGTATCAATGCGAAGGACAACAATGGGAGAACTCCGCTGCACTTTGTGATGGTAAATGCACAACGTACTGCAAGTCCAGGAGTCCTCCGATTTTTGCTAGGCTGGCAAGAAGGCGAAAACGGGGGTTTGGTTTCTCGTGCGAAAAGCAACATCCAAACGTGCTCCGTAAATGTTAGAGATGACGACGGACACCTCCCGTTGCACAAACTCAACATCGGTTTGAACGGGTCAGATCTGGAACAAACTCCAGAGAAATTGGACAGCGCCGCGGAATGCCTAAAGCTCTATCTAGCAGCGGAACCCTCCGCGTCGACAGACTTTTTGGCAGCCTTGCAGGCCCTCCCTGATTTGTTGCAAGACGTGGCGGTGGTTAGCCCTCACGTCCGCAATATCCTGAACAAAAAAATCATTCAGCGCTTCCCGACCTCCATTTTGGTGAGTTCAAACATCCCAAGAATGAAACGCAGCCTGAGTTTGTGAAAGTTGGTATCCCATTCTAACAACTATCACGAAATGAACTCTGTTTTCATCATTGCTTCTGTTTCACGAAATAGATGCTTGACGGCATCATGCTGGTGATCATGATTGTCGCCTTCGAGCTGGCCACCACTCGTTTCATAGACCAATCAGTGGAAGGTATTACTATATCTCTCGAAGACGACCTTGAGCTACCGTTACTGATGCTATACACAACCGCGGCATACTTTTTCCTTCGTGAACTAATTCAAGTCATAGCATCACTCACACTGGGCGCTTTCACTTCTTGGTTATACGACACAACCAATTGGTTGGATGTTTTGGTCATCACTCTCGTGACTTACTACTCGATCATCATGGCGATCGATGAACCACAAAATTATGCAAATGATGCTAAAGAGGCAGAAGATCCGTTCGAAGCCTTTCGCTCCGGAACCGCCTTGACTAAGGGAGTGTTGTGGACAGCCGTCATATTTTTTCTGAAAAGCACCCAGGTCGATTTTGCTGTTTTCTTGAACGGTGTCTTCTATGTAGTTCATCGATTGGTAGCCTTTCTCCTGGCCATCTTGGTTATTTTGATTTCGTTCGCCCAAATGTTTTGGGTAGTGTACCTGGAACAGCCAGTATGTAGATTTTCTTGCGGTGAAGATGACATACAGTGCAAAGTAGAAATGGAAGGGTGCGCCTACCCGCATTGTGAGTTTGGGGATTCATTTCTGAAGGTGGGTACAACAGATCCGAGTCATCGATATTGTATTTCCAGATGGCTTCAGGTTTTTTACTCTGGCTTCCCGCTTTCAAAAAACTTTTTGTCATACCTTTGCTTACCCAAATGAACTGTTTTATTATTGTAACTTAAGGTCTACACAATGATGATGGGGGAGATCGGAACGGAAACTCGATACGACGAGAACCTAGTAGCCCAGATTTTGTATATATTCTATGGATTCTTCATTGTCATTCTTTTGAGCAATGTTTTAATCGCTATTGTGACAGACTCCTACGAAGTCGTTCAAAACGACCGTGCAGCAATCGTCTTTTGGTCGAATCGCCTGGACTTCGTCGCAGAGATGGACGGCATTGCCTCTGTGGTTCGCAGACGTATCTTTTGTGCGGAAAGAACTGTACTAAAAAAATCCATTGCCTCGAACGATACACACGACGATCAGTCACAAGACAGTGTCCCCTCTTCGGAAATTTACGACAACACGGATGAGACCGAAGAGTGGCTTCGTCAAGAATGGGATTCGGTGCTTTCTCTATTTGAACCCGACGTTTATGGTGCCGCTGCCGAAGACATTCGCCCTATTGATTTTTGGATCGAAATATTGAAAAAGACTCTTGCCGTCGTTGTGATCCCCCCATGGTTGATATTTGGATTTGTGACAGTGGGAATCCTCTGGCCTCCCCAGGTGCGCGAGTGGTTGTTTGTCCAGGTGGATTCCGTCGCTTCCCGGGCCGAAATCGAACGCCGCAAGCTCGAACAGCTCCAGCAAATCCAACACGAAACTAAACTATTGAAGGATGAGATGCGCATGGAAATGAAAAACAGTCGTGACGAAATGTTCCGCACGAAAGCAGAAGTCGACGCGGTCCAGGAAGAAGTTTTGGCAGACCTACAGCAAGTTAGCGTGCTTGTCAGTACCCTCTTGTCAGATCTAGGAGGACTCGAAGGGTAACCAATACTAGTACTAGCAGTGCTGCCAGATTCATTACATTACTTCTGCTGCTGACTTCACTAGAGCATTAGTATCTCGCCCTCCGTAACAAGGAAGACCAAGAACAAGAAGAATGTAATGACGAGTACTTCGCAATCCGTAATACTCCAATTACTACTAGTAGTACTACTACTAGGTAGACCTAGTAGCAGTTTTGAAAGTCGTTGAGAAGAACAAGAACAGCAACTAGTACGTTGTGACGTAGCTACACCAACAACGTAACGAAAACTAGCAGCAGCTGCGAAGTTATCTACTATTCTTATCCACTACTAGTACTAGCTAGTACTAGTACGTACTATTGCTAGTGGTTCTTGTTCWTGTTGTTGGAGAACTAGTAGTTCTAGTAGTATTAGGATTACTAGTACTATTCTGAAACACCGCCAGCAACAACAACATATTTTCTCCTTCTTCTTGTTGTTCTTTTACTAGGTACTACTATTGATAGTACTTTTTGTACCGTACAGTAACTTTCAAGAAGAACCTGTTTTCTCGTCGAATGTGTTGTCCTTCTACCGCCAGTACTAGAAGAAGTAAGTAGTTCACATCATGTACTAGTTTCTGAATCGAAGGAATCAAAATTTCCAAAAACCCATGCCAATAATTTTCTTCTCTACCGGTACAACGGTCGACGGACGTGACGAGCGGTGGAAGGTASGAGTAGCGAATGCTGGGTGAGAGAKCGAGGGAGTGAGTGAGTAAAAAGAGACAAGAATAACGAGAAGCATCACTGGTAGATATCACTAATACCGTACGTACTCCTACTACTGTTTATGTAGCGTACCTGGTACGGTACAAACCATGGGACGTTAGGAAGCCAATTGGATGACCGACGCCCGACGACGAACGAAATGATTTGGTTTGTGAACTACAGTTCGACTTATCGAAGGCTAGGACAAGTTGAATCTATCCTAGACTTACGATACGGACTGCACAAAGTTTGTATCAACTGTCATAAGGCCTTCAAGTTGCTTCAGGACCGTAGAAAGGCGCGAAACACAGCTGGTGCAGACCGTGGAAGCGAGGAGCGAATACGTCGTTGTACGTTGTAGACTGTACTTGTAGTCGTAGTCGACACTTTAATCAATTATCACGATGGCTAGTTCCGCCGATGATTATTTCGGTACGCTGGGCGGGAGTCTAATGAAGGATCTCCTCGCCGATTTGCAGGTTGATGACAACGACTGGTCTCTCGAGCAGCTCGAAAAGGAGCTAGCGTATCTAGACCAGGAACCCAGTCTTGTAGAGCAACAAAGTCTGCCAAGCCTAAATGCAGCGTCACTGGTGGTTTCACACGCGCAGGAACGGCAGTCATCTATCCTGCCAATCCTTCCTCTGGAGAAAAACGCTGTACCGTTGCCTCCGCCGGGGATGGGAAACAGCAACGCAGCAGATGCATGGAGTCTATCCCTACAGAATTTCACGTCTCTTTCTCTACAGGACGACTTCTTGGCAGCCGACTCGGCACGAAAACAAACTAGGCCACCTCCGCCACCACCCGGTTTGGCTTCGCTGGTTGGAGCAGAAGATTACGATGTCAAAGAAAAACAAGTGGTTGGTCCGCCTCCAGGTCTTGGAGGGGGAGCCCCCAAACCGCCACTCCCGGTTCAGAAAGTACCCGTCTCGGCCGAGATGAGTAAAACCGAACCCATCGTTGATCCCCAGCCTTCTTCAMCCACTGCAAATGATATTCCAAAAGAAGCTACAACTCTTCCTGCGAGCAACGTACCTACGATGATGCCAGTGCAAGGAACTGTGGTACCACCCCCTCAAGGCAAGCCACCTAGCATGATGCCGCTACAGGGTGCTGTGATGCCTCCACCTCAAATGAATCCACCCAACATGATGCCACCGCAAGGCACTGTGATGCCTCCCTCACAAATGCAAGGGAGAATGACCATGCCGCCTCCACCAGGACAACTTCTCCCCCCGCCACCGATGGGAGTTCCTGTGCAAATGCCGATGCAAATGCCTCCTGCGATTGGTACCYCTGTTGCGGCACCGGTGACAGGAGTTGTAGTAGGTTCTGCTGTGTCAACCCCAGGACCCGCGTGGCAAACCCCTAGCCAGGTTCCTATGCCGGTTCTTCACCAACCAACCGCTTTTGCAGCGAAAGCATACTGCAATCCGTACCCCCGGGCACCCCCCATTCCAGCTACTGCTCTTGCGAGCAGCTGCATGAGTGGTCGAGATATTGCATATGTGGTTCATGCCATCATGAAACCCCTGCTGCTCGCAGGAACATCGGAGAACGACTACTATATTCAATACATTAAAAGCCGAGTCGGTGGTCCCGGATCGGATCCTATCAATCCTAGGAGGATTAAGGACGCCACCCACGATGTTGCGAGTCGAACGACCAAATCAAAAGAATGGGCATCCGAAAAATCCGTCCTCGGTCACATTACGAAGACCAATGTGGCACGCCCACGCGCCTTGATTGCAACCCCACAACCATCTACAGATCAAGAAAACAAAGAACAAAGGCAGCGTGCCAATCTGTGGAAAGCGCGCGTCTATTCGGATCAGGCATACCAGGCATACCAAAACGTTATCGATATCTGGCGTGCAGCTCCCTCAAAGAATGGCATTCCGCCCCAGGTCCAGATTCACTTGGTGAAATTGATGAAGTGCATGGGGGTTGTACTGGACAACGAGAAAAAGGTGTACACTGTCAGCACGGATGCTCTCAAGCTGATCTTAAAACTCGATAAGGGTCGAACCTTAATTTGTCGTGTCCTAGAACAGGCATTATTGCCACCAAATGCTGTACAAGCAATGCTTCCTGACCTGCTTGATATCATCATTGCAATGCCTACCAGCAGCGGCAAGGAGATGAGCAACAGTGCTATTGTAGAAGAAAAGACAGTCGGGCGCTTGTTTCAAGCCATCGCGGGCATTGTTCCGAAGCTAAACATTACCGCTGATACGCTGGTGAAATGCCTGGAGGTTGCAATGGTCCATGGAAAGTCCGCCACTCGCTCCATCGTGCGGATGGGATGCATGCACTCTTTGTTGCAGAAGGGAGCGCAGGTAGTCCCGCAAGATCCGTCGGAAGACGTGAAACAGGCCTGGGGAAACGCCGAACGAAAGTTCATGTCGGGTTTGCAGGGGGCGTGACTGAATTGCGAAGAAGATGACGATCGGTAAGGTAAGACTAATTTAAAAATAACATAAAACAAAGCATAATCGAACTAGTATTACTAGTACTTGCATGAGTACCGCCCATTAGTGCACAATAATATMACTTACAGCAGTACTACTAGTAGTAATCATTCCATTATAAACAACAAATTTAAAATAGATTTATATCCTGCCGCAGAGAGATGGTGCATTCGAGGTGAAAATTCGGATTGCACTTGTAGGGTTGAGTTTTTCTCTATGGATGATGGTGGGATGATGCTCCCTTGAAGTTGTGATCAACTCAAAGTTATTGTATGCACAGGTCAATATTTTTTTCCTTCACGTACTTGCTGCGGTTCGCTACCATACATACGGTACGTACGTTACCAAACAAGGAACTTTCCCTTCATTAAATTAAAGCAATAATGACCAATTTCCCCTCATTCGTGAATAAACTTTTCCCGTGAAGACAAAAAAGACATTTTCAATAGGATCGTTTGAACGAAGAACATGTTGTTTTCTTTCTCTTTCTGTGTATTATTTTTAGTGTTAGTTCAGTTTTTGAAGGAAACCACGCGTTTACCTTGAACCGTAATGTACGTTGCTCCCCTCCCTGCCTGAGCGCCTTAGTAACATAATACCCCTACAGAACGCCCATCACTCTCCAATTTCAGGAATTTTTGACGTGTTCTGCAAAAAAATAAATGCGAGTACTAGTACTAGAAATATGGAGGTAGTTAAAATCTTCTACTGTACAGCACGTAAAACCGATCACCTCATCAATGAGTTTTTGACATCCATTCCGGTCTCTTCGGAACACAACACACTGGATGAGCGGAACACAATAGCGACCGAACTAATATCACCAGCAGCTGTTTTTCGTCACCTGCAAACTTTCCCATACAATTAATAATAGTGAGTTCCATTGTCCAAGAATTCCTGCACGCCAGGAAAGGATGGAACGAAAGACCGAATCGTTGTTGCACCGCATTCGTTGAAGGCGCTATTTTCAATCAKCTGCTAGCGGACCATCGTCCAACTTTGCTCTTATAACTCAGCACCATTGTGCRTATTTGCGAGCAAGCCGTTGCCATGCTTATCCAGCAAGAGGGATGGTGCATCGTGGATTGCTTACATCCAGGGCATGTTTTTCTTTTCCCGATCAACACGTCCTTTCGACGAACTACGAAAAAGAAACTCTCCGAAAGTCTTTGGGTTGCTGCGCGTTGTTGATCATTTTAGCGCGCGATCGTTCTTATTTACGGTTTTAGATAGCTATTTAAGGCCTTCAACTTTTTTTTCATGGAACTCGGCGAAGAGACCAAAATCAAAATCCCTTTTTGATTGTAACGAAATACCTCACTCCATATGCTTTTTCCATCCTAACAACCCCTTCCCGCAACTCCTCATAATACCCAAGAACCATTCGGATAGAGTACACAGCTGAGGATCGATAGAAAACCTTCCCAATCTACCATTATTTTTTTGAGACAAGCATCAAGTGTGAAATAATAGAAGATGGACACTCCTCATAGTGCTCCAGAAGCTTCGTCGCCTGTTGTTTTGCTTCCCCACTCGACGCAATTTAATTATGCGATTCCCCCCATAGCAGAAGTGGCTGTCGGTGCTGCTACTAGAGCATCGTCACTGAATGCTACKAGAGACCTTCACCCACGYACACGGAGTATGTCATCCGTGTTACCTGGAGCGCCAACAAACTATGCCTTTCCAAATGCCGGAATGGTTGCCGGTCCTGCTACTAGAACATYGCCAAGAAATGCTACAATAGGCATTCATCCGCGTACACGGAGTATGACATCCGTATCAACTGGAGCGCCAACAAACTATGTCTTTCCAGCCGCTCATGGATTGCACCTAGACGAGAACGGAGCCACAGGACCAACGACCAGATCGAGGAAACGATCCCCGCAAGCTATTGGTACGATAGAAAGACGAACCGAAGCGGAACCCGATAATTCCACATCTGACCCTACGGAAATTTCTCGGAAAAGGAGAAGAACCGCAAGCCGCAAAAAGCCGCCTCCAGGAGCGGCACTTAAGAAACCACCAGCAGGAGCAAGTTGCAAGAAGCGTAGCGTAAATGATACCGAGGAGAAGCCTACGGCAGAAGTCGTAAACTGCTGTATTTGTATGAACGACGTAGAACCGAACGAACTTGCTTCGATCAATGGCTGCGAACACAAATTTTGCTTTTGCTGCATTGAAAAATGGTCCGAACGCGAAAATAAGTGTCCGCTATGCAAGGCAAGATTCGGAAAGATCGAACGTGTTAACAAAAAAAGGAAAAAGGGGACAAAGAATACAAAAAAAGTCAAACAACGGGATCAACGCTCGGATGTAGCGCCTGGCGCTGCTCTGGAAGGATTGATAGGTAAGATCAAGTCTGTGGAGGTGCATCTCGGTATATGAATTTAAACTTTTCGGTCGACTTTGGTTAGCACAGTGCAAATCCGTTTAACTAACCTTTCATTGATTAAACTCTTTTGTCATATAGCAAACTTGAATAGAAGCAGAGGTCTGGCACGAATTATTTTTGGCGGATTCGACTTCCAAGGCGTTGGTGCGGGTGGTATCCAAAGTTCCGGGGCTCCTCCTGCACCCCTTAATTTTTCATCATCCAATCGTGGTGACGACGACTCGGATGATGAAGATTCTCCAATGGCTGCCTTCATGCGTGCGCTTCACGGAGGTCCCGGTGCTATCGGTATCAGAACGTCTACGACGGTGGTTCGTCCCGTGACGGTGACGGCACGTTTTACTACTACGACCACCAGGTCATACGCTAGAAACGTGCACGATTCTACGGCGGGGAATGAATTTGAAAATCCTCTTGAAATAGTTGACGATGAAAGCGTCGACGAAGTTATTGAGATTGATTGAATTTACGGGCGATTGACTCATTCGTACAATCCAACAAAAACCTATTCCGTGGTCTCCGTGATCAATAACTCATATTGATCAATTGCCGGACATGAAAAGCACTACGGAACAGGCCAAATTCTTGAAAGCCAAGGGAACCGTCATTAATTTTCGAATTCCTTAATTAGTACAAACTTTCTTTTTTCTGGCTTWCAAAAATATACTAGTGCCGACCTGAAGTAAGGTTTATCAAGAGTACCGTCTTGATTGTTGCTGCTGTCATCGACAGTCTAATTTTTATTTTGTTTGAATCATTCAAACGGCTGAAATTTGGAAATGGGCAACTTTCCGCAATTGCATCAGACCGAAGCTCACTACAGGAAGGCAACGATCTAGTAAACAAAAGCACGAGTACTTCTGTGCCATTTTTGTTGGGATTCATGAAATACGCCGTTCGCGTTCGTTGCCTTTTTCGCAAGGAAGTTTGAACGGAGAGGATGGATTGATAGGACACTTAGCAATCCCGCTCTCTCGGTTTCACCCTCCGTATTGATCATGCAGTCTTCCGCTGTGAATCAGGCCAAGGCTAGTTCTTATCCTCAAAATATAATCTCTATGTAAATTTTATTTAGTTCGCCGAGGCAATCATGTCGGCACTTTCTTCGTGGATGCTGTTTACGAATGCATCCACCAGCGTTGTGCTTTCCTTTCCTCCGAGGCCTTCACCGAGGTTGGCGATCAGTTTTTGGGGGCCGAGTGCCTCGAGCATTTCCCGGGCTGTCGCTCGGACCGTTTCCGGTGTCTTTGTTCCCTCCTCGTCCTCGATGAGTTCGCGGGGGTCGTAGTTCCCTTGCAGGGAGACGCGATCGCCCACGGAGTCTCTGGCGGTGCTTCTGTCGACGCTGCCATCGATCGTAACTACGTCGTATTCCAGCTTTGAGAGGTTGCCGTTGGCAAAACTAGACGAATGGGTTGGTTTGTGGTGTGCCAAAAAATGGAAACAGGAGCAGAAGGTAAGTTTGTGGAACGCTTTGAAGAATAAGAGCACGATGGAATGTCTTTTGGATCCCACCGTCGTTTCTTTGTTACACTGTATTGGTTGGTTTCTTCGACGACAATACCGTACTCACCTGGCACCGCGGCTGAATACCATGACGGGCACATCGGGGAATCGAGACTTGAGTTCCTTCGAGATTTGTTCCAGGCACGGCAGGGCAAACTTATTGAAGTTTTCTTCGTCGATCATCATTCCCATGGCCTCGAACACCTGGAGCATGTGCGCTCCGTTTTCTACCTGTTTGCTCATGTATTCGATGACAATCTTGGTGAGAATGTCGAGGAGCTTCTGGGACTCCTCGGGGTGTTCGCTGAGCCACCTCATGCCGCTGTCCGTGTTCTTGCGAGAAGATCCCCCGACCATGTAAAAGAGAAGCGTCCACGGTGCGGCGGAGAACCCGATGAGCGGAACGCTCTTGCCCTCCTCGGCCATTTTCGACCGGATCTGGCGGACGGCCTCCAGAACGTGCCCGAGCTTGTCCTCGACAAAGGCCTCCGAGATCTCGTCGATGGACGGGATGCGGGTGGCGACCTCCTCGGGGCCGGCCAGGGGTTCCGGGATGAGGATTCCAACGCCGCCGGGCATGGTGACCTCGATCCCGAGGGCTTCCGCGATGACCAAAATATCGGAGAAGAGAATCGCGGCGTCGACCTCATACCTACGGACGGGCTGCAGGGTGCATTCTGCGACGCTCTGTGTTTGTTGTTGTTGTTGTTGCGTTTTTTAAAAATAGTTTTTCCGAGGGCGGATCGTGGGGGCACGACAAGCACATACACGGACGGATTAGAAGGGGTTTTCGACGGGAAAGGAATTCTTGCCACCATTTAACAAACATTGAAAAAAAACGCGGTGGAGGACCGGATGACATCCGACGTTTGCGATGCTCGTCCACTGCACAAGACAAGGAGGATGCTAGCGCACGCCACCGCAAAACAAAGCAACCGATCGGACCGGACCGAAAGGAAAGGAAGCGACGCTGAACAACACGAAACGAAACGAAACGAAACGAAACGACACCAAATCGAACCCAAGAGAACAACAACTGCACACATACCTCGGGGTACTTCAGGAGCTCGACAAAGTTTCTTCCGGTTTCCTCCTTGTAGGCCGTGTATTCGGGGAGGTGGCGGCCGGCCTGCCGGAACAACCAGATGGGGGTCTTCTCGACGGTTTCCCCGAGGGCGGCGCGGATCATCAGGTCGTTCTCGGGCCGCGGGGGCGAGMCGTAGGAGCGGGCTTTTGGCTCGGCGGCCCCCTGGGAGGACCCGTCCTCCTGGAAAAAGTCGAGGAGGACCCTGCGGGTCAGCTCGAGGTCCTGCTCCGCGGAGGCGGCCGCGCGGACCGCGGTGGAGGGCCGGCCGATGGCGCGGGGGGCCGAGAAGGCCTCGACGCAGGCCGCGACCCCGAGGAACGCGACGAGTGCGGAGGAAACGAATTTCATGGTGTGTGGTGTGGTGTGGTGTGGTGTTCTTGCCGGTACGTATACGGTTCGTGGACTGGGGTGTGCGGCTTGGTGGTCCGTTTGCAATTGATCGTTGGGTTGGCAAAGGGAGGCAAGGCGGCGGATGCAATCGATCGGGGCGGGGGCTACACTAGTAGTGGGCTGGGAAGCACTCGTAGCTTGTTGGTTTGGCCTCGTACTKGGAGGACCCCAGTTCCATACGAGTACCTGCGAGCGAGCTAGTAGCGATGGCCGAAGTCCATACCTAGCACGGTACGAACGAAGTTTTCGTCAAAACTTTGAAAGATAGATGATTTTTTCGTTCAAGTTGTGACATAGGAATTCGCTTACACGTGTATCGGGACGCACTGAACAGAACGCAAAAAAAGAACGGAATTACTCGTAATCGTAGTACTTGTACTCGTCGTGTCGTTCAGATGCTGCTTTTTCTGCAACTCGAACGAGTCGAGTTTTGTCGAGTCGAGTCTCGAGTCCGTCTCAGTCGTTMGACGGGTTGTTCACGCTTTGGATTTCCCCAATGACACGGTTTCAGGTTGTTGGGGCGCGCCATCTTTCGTTTTGCATGATTCCGTTGTTGCGTAGGAGTACTGGTACTAGCCTGCCCTACCTACTGTACGGTACGCTACATCGTGACTAACGAACCGTACAGAGTGCTAGACTACGGTTGGAACACGTACAGAAGCTCAAACCGTACAGTACGGTATCTATCTACCGGCACGAGTACGAGTACGAAGCAATGATGGCGTCCCGGCGTCCCGCCAAGTTTGCTTCTTTTTTTTCCTGCCGCAGTACCGTACCGTACAGTTGTACGCGTACGAACCATGCAAAGCGACACTCTTCGAGCTGCAATCGAAACCCCGACACCTCGATTCACAACGGTCGCTACAGAACCAGCGATCGGGAAGAGTTTCCTTGCCCTGTAGATCGCACAGCATAGCACCGCACCGCACCGCACACCGCATCCACCATGACGACCCCTTCGACGCGAGCGGCACCGATGGAGTTGGAAAGTATCCACGCCGATTGCAACAGCAAGGATGCCGGGAGCCTTCTCCGCACCGGCGCAAAACGAATCCGCGGCGGCGGCGGTGTCTACAACCCGTACACCGCCAAGAAAAAGACCAAGCCCAGCAGCAGCGGCGGAAGCGGTTCGAACCCGTATTCGAATCCCAACAAAACGAGCCAAGGCGCTTCGGGCGGTGGCGACCACGAGGAGGACCTCATCGACGATTACTACCACGAAGAGCACGAGCACGAGCACGAGCACGAGCACGAGGACGCCCTCCCGGAAGACGAACCGCACGAACCGATGGAGCCCAACCCCGCCGAGGACGGGCCCACCACCGCCGCCCTCCCTTTCTTTTCGGACGTSACCGAGGCCACCTTCCAGCGCTGGCAGCGGCCCCCGAACGACTGCAGGGACAACTCGAGGGACCTCTCGCTCCAGTGGCTCGACATGGACATGATCGGCGGCACGGCCCTCCGCGAGAACCCGAGCGAGCTCGAGCCGGGCCGCCGGGTGGTCGGGGCGGCGGAGGGGCAGGTCCCGATCATCCGCGCCTTTGGGGTCACCGAGGCGGGAAACTCGGCCACGGTCTTCGTCCACGGCTTTACGCCCTACGGGTACTTTGCCCTGCCGCAGGGGTCCTCCTTTGACCACACGGAGGAGAACCTCGCCAGGATCCGTCTCTACCTCAACAGCCGGCTCGAGGGGCAGGCCCGGGGCGGCAAGCTCCACGAGTACTGCTTCGCCGTCAGCTACGAGACGGGCTACAAGTCCATCATGGGCTACGAGTCGCCCCACACGCACTTTTTCAGGGTCGTGGTGGCCATGCCGACCCTGATTCCGACCCTCAAGCGGATCATGGAGGACGGGGTGGACCTGCCGGGGGTGGAAACGCCGGAGGGAAACGAGTATTCCGCCTTTGAGTGCAACGTGCCCTTTGTGCTGAGGTACATGATCGACCACGAGATTTCCGGGGCCGGGTGGATCACCCTCCCGAAAAAGACCTACCAGCTCCGGGATCCGTCGCGCCGGAAGACCAACAGCCAGGTGCGTGCCGTAGTGTGCCGTAGYGTGCCGTAGCGTGCCTCGCGACACGACGCCATGCGATGTCTTGCGACGGTGTTGTTTGCCGAAGTCTTGTGTTTCGTTTGCCGCGATTCTAACSCCCTTGCCGTTTTGATCTTGTCTSCAGGTCGAGGTAGACATCACGTACCGCGACATTATCTCGCGGAAACCGGAGGGGGAATGGAACAAGATCGCTCCCCTCCGGACGCTGTCCTTTGACATCGAGTGCCAGGGCCGAAAGGGGTACTTTCCGGAGGCGGAGAAGGATCCGGTCATCCAGATTGCCAACGCGGTGACGGTATACGGAGAGAAAACCCCCATGGTGCAAAACGTCTTCACCCTCAAGGGCTGCCTGCCGATCGTCGGAGCCCAGGTCATCTCCAGCGACAACGAGGTGGACATGCTCATGAAGTGGAGGGCCTTTCTGGAGGCCTGCGACCCGGACGTTATCACGGGGTACAACGTCCAGAACTTCGACATTCCCTACCTCCTGGACCGCGCCGAAACCCTCGGCAAGGGAAAGTACGGGAACCAAACCATCAAGGGATTTGCGCAGTGGGGGCGCATCCTCAACTCCAAGGCGAAGATGAAGGAGACCACCTTTCAGAGTGCCGCGTACGGAAAGCGAAACAACATCGAGACGACCATCGAGGGCCGGGTCATCTTCGACATGCTTCCCTACATGCAGCGCAACCACAAGCTGTCGTCCTACTCGCTCAACAGCGTTTGCGCGGAATTCCTCGGACAGCAAAAGGAGGACGTCCACCACAGCATCATTTCGGACCTCCAGAACGGGAGCGACGAGGACCGCCACCGGCTGGCGGTCTACTGCCTCAAGGATGCGGTGCTCCCGCAGCGCCTCATGGACAAGCTCAGCGTCATGGTCAACTACGTGGAAATGGCCAGGGTCACGGGGGTCCCCATGAGCTTTCTGATTTCGCGCGGGCAGCAGATCAAGGTCCTTTCCATGATTCTGCGCAAGTGCCGCAACGAGAAACTCCTCGTCCCGACCCTCAAGAAGGGCGGGTTCAACCCCGACGACGCCAACTACGAGGGCGCGACGGTCCTGGACCCCATCAAGAACTACTACCAGGTTCCGATTGCGACGCTCGATTTCGCCTCGCTGTACCCGTCGATCATGCAGGCCTACAACCTGTGCTACTCGACGCTCATCGGTCCGAAGGAAGTGCACAGGTACGACCCCGAGATCTACAAGAAGAGCGCCAACGGCCACGTCTTTGTGCATTCCACGGTCAAGAAGGGGATCCTGCCCACCATTCTRTCCGAGCTGCTGGCGGCCCGGAAACGTGCCAAGAAGGACATGAAGAACGCTCCCACCGAATTCGAGCGGGCGGTGCAAAACGGTCGCCAGGTGCGTTGCGTTGCGTCGAGTCGCGTCGCGTCGGTTTTGTTTTGTTTTGTTTTTTGGGGTTGCGGTTGCGGTTGTGTTTTTGTTTGCCCCGATTAGCGAGATTGCAGTGCTGGAACCGAACGACTCACGTACGGCTTTTTTTCATCCTTGGACGGTTGTCTTTGTCATGGTATTTTTCTTCTTTGTGAGTAGCTCGCTCTCAAGATCTCGGCAAACTCGGTGTACGGGTTTACTGGAGCTACCGTGGGGCAGCTGCCGTGTGTCCCAATTGCGTCCTCTACAACGTCTTATGGACGAGAGCTGCTCGAAAAGACGAAGGAGTACGTCGAAAAGAACTATACCGTTGCGAACGGATACAAGCACGACGCCCAGGTCGTGTACGGAGATACCGACTCTGTCATGGTAAAATTCGGCACGAAAACCGTMGAGGAAACCTTCCCACTGGCGATCGAGGCGGCCGAAAAGTGTTCCAAGATTTTTCCCAGCCCCATTCTGTTGGAGTTCGAAAAGGTGTACTTTCCGTACCTGCTCATGAACAAAAAACGCTACGCCGGTCTGATGTACACGCGGCCCGACAAGTACGACAAGATGGATCAAAAGGGTCTCGAGACCGTCCGCCGCGACAATTGTGCCCTGGTGCGCGACGTCATTCAGACATCGCTGGACAAGATTCTGATCGAGCAGGACGTGGAAGGGGCGATTGGTTACGTCAAGAAACAGATTAGTGATTTGCTGCAAAACAAGATGGACATTTCTCGCCTGGTCATCACGAAAAGCCTCAACAAGGGTGCGGAGTACGCACTCGGGATAGGCGGAAAGAAGGAGGACTACAAGGTGAAGCAGGCGCACGTCGAACTCGCCGCCAGGATGAAAAAACGCGATGCGGGGTCGGCACCGCAGATGGGCGACCGTGTCCCGTACGTCATCATCACGGGTGCGAAGGGAGCATCCACGTACGAACGAGGGGAAGATCCGATTTATGTCCTCGAGAACGGTTTGGCCATTGACTGCAAGTGGTATCTCTCGAACCAGCTTTCGAAGCCCCTGACAAGAATCTTCGAACCGATCATCGAGGACGTAACAAAGTCTCTGCTCCAGGGTGAGCACACCAGAAAGATCTTTATTCCAACACCCGCTGCGCGGAAGGGAAGTTTGATGATGTTCGCGGTGAAGACCGCCAAATGCATTGGTTGCAAGGCGCCCGTGAATTCGAAAAATGGATATCTCTGCAAACATTGCTCGCCCAGACAGGCTGAAATATATTTGGAAAAGTTGGAGTGTCTCCGTGTTGCGGAGAAATCATACGATGAGCTATGGTCCACTGCGCAAAAAATCCATAACTCGTTCCATTCCGATATCATGTGCACCGGTGATGGATGCGCTTGTCAGTTCTATCGAAGGAAGAAAGTCCAAGCTGACATTCGTCTTGCCCAAGAGGTGCTGGACAAATTCGGGCGATAATTCTGGACGACATGCTCAGAAAAGAGCAGAAAAGAGATGCTTTGATATTGAAATTCAGCCCACTAATGAATTCTAGGGAGGACTTTGTTACATTCATATTTAAATTTATTGATACAGTAGATTTTACCCATGTGCGTACTCTAATCGTGGACGGTGTATTAGAAGGTTGAAAAGATGTAACTACCTCCGTCATCTCGTTTCTGGGAATCGAAATGTAGGTTCTTCTTCGTGAAGCCTTTGATATGCCACTCGCCCAATCATTTGTTCTTTAGGTCTGTCAATGCGGAACATGCTCTTTTCTCTTTATCATTCGGTTGGTTAAGACAATCTTTGCAGAGACAATGTTTGGAGCAATCCTTGCCCGATGCGACGCATTCACAAAACTTTTTCAAACAACTTTTGAATTTGTGAAGACATCAAAATGGTGAGTGGTGGAAACTAGAGTTGGAATGTAACATGCGATTTACTTGAAGCGACGTACCGACTTTTCTGACAACGGCATCCTTTTATGTTGAATGATCTGCCGCCTCTGTCGAATGCACCTGGCTTTTTCGCCAATATATTCAACATTGCCGTTACTCGGCGTCCTCTTGGCACCTCAATTCCATTTTCTGCTTTCGTGTTCAAACAGTCCTTGCAAGAACAAAGCTTTGGATCACAAAAAGAAGCATTGTGAAAACATTCGCAATATAACTTGAGACATCTAGTTTTGCTACATTTGCATGGCCGGGTGGTCGTTCTTACTCCCCGGAATAGATGCTGTCGATCAAGAATTGTATTCCACATGTTTTCGATTGATGGGTTATGGTTGTCGATTCCTGTTTTCAATCGTTTTGGAAGCTTTCTCTTGGCCCTCATTAACCTCGACTCTGTAACACCGTCCAATATGCTCTTTTCTCCAATTGGAAGTTTGATCTTGGATCCCGTTGAGCTGAAGGCTGCAACACCATCTGACTTGATCATTCCGCCTATTGATTTCTTAGCAGAGAGATCCCCGAAGTTTGAAATTCCACTTAAGGAAGTCTTTTGGCGTTGGATAATAGGTGAGAAGAGCGGGAGTCCTGCTCTTGATTCTTTTRRTACTGCTATGCCTTCCGTGTTTCTTTGATTTGCTTTTACTGTAGAGGGACTCTTCCAATGCTCGATAGTTTTGGATCCAAAAATATGATCTTTACCTCTCTCATGAAAGATGCCGTTCTTCCAATCAGCCACAGTACCTAGTTTTGGTGGTGACGGGTTAATTGATGTTGATGTCTCCGGTTTTCTGCGAGAACCTTTCGCAGAAACGGAACCTCTCGCTTGCTGGAAGAGTTCAGCTCGAGGTACAACGGGGGAAAGTTTTGACTGCTGGGATCTTTGTGTGATGATGGCACGGGGTTGAGGACCAAAGGGATGAATAATCCGAATGATATCGACTCCCCAACCTTGTCTTCTCTCGGTATTCCTTTTGTCAATGCTTGGATTTATATGATTGTTTTGGTTCAACGAATTTCGCATTTCTTGAACTTGTGTTTGACTTGAATCTCGAGAAAACGAAAGTGAGGCTGCGTCTTCCTTGAATTTTGACGTAGTTGTGACCGCAGGGTTGGGATTCTCTGCTTCAGTAGTAAATACGAAAGGAGCGTAACTGTATGCAGAATGTGGATTCGAGTTGATCGGCAACAGTGAACCGTTCGTATACGAGACCCGTCCTATGCTTCCGTTCGAAGGGATTGGCTGCGGTGTGGTAAGCAATGGCTCAGTCATYAATTGGCAGCTCAGGCTTCTCCGGAGTAAAAGCTGGGAACGCATCGCTCTCATGTAATCCCCATTTTTGGTAACAGAGGACGGTAAGCTGTGACGCCAAAAGCTCGAAGCTGATGATTTGGAACCGCAACTCGAAAATCCCGAGGTCCCCGTATCGGAAGCGAGCGTTTGTGATGTCGCGGCAGAAGACGATGCCGGCGTGGAGAACGATACCTTTAATGTAGCGGGCGTCGACAAATTTGGAGACCGCTTTTTCAATGGTCCTCGCCCTCCGTTTTTCTTTTTGTCGGAGGAAAAACACGACTGGGCAATGGGCCGAGCGGTGGAGGCAGTCTGGGCCGCCGTCGGAGTTGGGATCTCCTTGCTCGCGTAACGGCAATTGATTGTTGAAGGATTTGTCGGCGCTGACCTCATAATGCTCCCCCTACCTTGTGGAAACGGAGTAATGTTGTTGTWCTCCGTATCTCGTCCTTGYTGATCCTTTTGCTTGCGTTTGGAACCGCGAAGGGGATCACCATCTTCGACGCGATGGTCACCTTGGGAATCCCATCGCGTCGCGCTAGATTCTTCTTTCTTCGTTGACGGATCCATTGTATAGCGCAGCGACACAGCTTTGGATAAGAGAAGGCGATGAGATCGACGTGAATGTCGTCTCTCAATTCTGTGGCTTGGTGTTGAATTGTCTTGTCAACGTATTTGAGTTCTATCCTTGTAAAAAACTTGAAATTTTGAATTTTGAAAGATGCGCGGAAGAAATTAAAACAACGGTCTTCAACTGTGACTGAAACTATTAGATTATTTTCTGTTTTTAACAACATGAGTGCACGTTCTCACAAAACTGACTGACTTGTGAATTGTGCAACTGCCGCAAGATGAGATGAGCTCCTGTTTTCCGGGACGAGTAGTGTCAGGCAGGGACCACACCAGGGAAACAGAATGAAGTTTTACTGTATGTGTTTCAATCACAAACGATCCGGGTGAACAAAATAAATTTACTGTATTTWTGTGCAATTCCTGCGGGGTCCTTCTTCAAATCTTTTTGCGCCTTACCGAAACAACACTGTATATCCATACCCACTTCTGCAACGACCAGTTTCGATGAAACCACTACCACAGTTTCGACTTCCTCAGAGATGCCTTCACCGAGACACGCCCGAGTTCAAAAGCAACCAATCTGGTCGTAAATGCCTAGCGCAATACGGAGGTTTCGGTACCACTRCTGAGAATTTTGTTGGATTCATCATACAAGGCATCCAAGCATTGTCTATCGGTTGCCTCAAATTGCGTGGCAGCATACGCGTGAGTTTGTCAGCCAACAGAAGCAGGGACTATAGAGTGAGTATCTGCACTCATCGGCGAATCCACCATCGCCATGTTTCGTCGCAAATTATGGACCGGCTGGTTGGCGGTGTRCTCGTTTTGAATCGTCCCGGTGATTCAGTGAAGCAGAAATTCTTTTCACAGCACAATGCGGTCTCTTTGCTCATTCATAGGAGCATGGGTCGTCGTCATGGATTGCTTTCTTCCCGAAACCGCTCCTAGTCGTGTTCCTGGGAGGACACACAAATCGCCACCCCGACCATGATSAGAAAGGCCCCCGCCCCGGTCCGAAGCGGTTTCTGGATGGGCTCTCCCAGAAGCGAGCTCGTCAAAAAGGAAAATAGCAGTGCCATGGCGTTGCAGATCGGAACGGCCATGCTAATGTCGGAGTTTGCCAGGAGCACGTAGAAGACGATGGATCCCGACTGGTTGAGCACGTAGGGCAGCCACACCCCCACGTTCGCAAAGGATCTCAGGGAGGACACCAAAAATGAGGAGGAGGAGTCACMSCTAGAACCGTCGTCCGATGCATCCGGACGCTTCGCCGACGACGATTCTTCGGCGTCGGAGGATCCCTTGCGAAGAAGCGGATTGGTACATCCCCACAGAGCCCCCACTAGCAACATGGACAGAAAGTCCACGGTCGATGAAYCCATGTCTTCGGAGGTTCTATAGAACGATGGTGTTTTACACGAGTGAGGTACCGTATGCAAGGCGCACGCTGTTTTGTTTGCTTGGGAGTAGGACAAGCACCAAATTTGGCAGTAAGCGTCGAACGCTTTGTACTCTGACGACGAACATCGATAGTAGTACTGCCAGTACGTACGGAGGCAACGAGACTTGCATGCATGTTCGTACGAGTACGGGTACCGTTTTCGGTTTTTTCTTCTTCCAAATTTTGTCAACTGTGCCGTACGTCGGTATTGGGATGGTGTA